AACAATAGTGTCTGAACAAGAATGTAGACAGAAACTTAAGAAAATAAAAGTTGTACAAGTTGGAATGAAGATGTTAGATGCTTGGGATATCTTATTTCAAAGTTAGAAGATTTTTCAGTTCGAGGTATAAAGTTTTATACACCTTCTCCAAACTTCTATTCTATCTTCACTGGATATAAATACGAACAAGTAGAATGGAAAGAAAATATTATAGAAGCTTGGTTAGACCATGTCAAAGAAATATATATGCAATGGAAACGAAAGAGTCTATGAGTATCTTATGTTGGTTTGCAAACATCTTACAACATCCAAGTGCTAAAAATGAAACTGCTCTCATTATAATTTGGAAAACAAGGAACTGGTAAGAACACATTCTTTACAGATATTTTGTGCAAACTGTTAGAAGGTTATTCGAATCCGAATATGACAAACATAGAAAACATCTGTGGCAAGTTTAACTCCTCAATAGAGAATATGAAACTTATAGTTTGCAATGAACTTCAAGTATAGATACAACAAAAGTTTTGAACTCAGATGCTTTGAAGAGTCTTATAACAGACAAAGTTGGAGTTGTTGAAAGAAAGTATAAAGACCAAAGAGTTTGTGAAAATGTTGCAAACTTCATTATGGTTTCAAACAATGCTGTTCCGATGAAGTTAGAAAGTTCTGACAGAAGATATGTAGTTGTCAGAACGTCAGATTCTCATATGCAAGATACAGAATATTTTGACGACTTAGGCAGAACTTTGACATCTGACTTTTACAACCACTTGTTCTCATATTTTATGACATTAGATATTTCTAAGTTCAATCCAAGACAAATTCATACGCGAAGAGAGACAAACATTGTTAGAAGCAAACAAGAGTGTATATGAACTGTTCATAGATGAAACTGACTTTGTGTCATTAGATGAAAGGTCATTGTACGATTCGTATAAACAATATTGTCAAGAATATGGTTATATGACAGCTTCTAAACGAACATTCTTGGCAAATGTCAAAAGTCTTTTAGACGTACAGAAAGGTGTATATACAAAGAAAATTTTTATGAGTAAATTTTAAAAAAAATATTTTTTATCCGATAGAAAAAGATGGCAAAATTCATCTCAGTAAATAAGTACATGTCAGGACTTAAAGAAGAACTAGACCCATTCACATATTTGAATGTTTACTTCTACCATTTTGAAAGTCTTCATCAGCAAGTTTGGAACATCGAACCAGTTAAGTTTGCTATTGTGACTAAAAATGGTGCGAAATTTGAAGACTTAGAGATAGAAGGTTTGTTAGCAGTCAAAGAAAATTTTGACAGAAGGTTCTAAACCTTAAAGAAGGCAAAGCATACAAACTTGTTATACCTTATGAACCAAAGAAGACAGACGACTATGAATATTATGAGTCTAAGATAGTTGAAGTTCAAGGTAAATTGGGTAAAAAGATTTTAGAGTCTAAGCAGTGTTTGCCCCTAAAGAGGAAGAGAACATTGACATTGACCAGAAATGTTCTAAAAATAAAAGTTTATTTTTACATGTCAAATTTCTTTTCTCTGGAACTGGTTCAGGTTCTTTCTTCTCTTCTTCTACTTTCTTTTCTTCTTTTACTTTCTTTTCTTTCTTTCTCTCTTCTTCTTTTCTGGTGGAGTTATGTCAAATTTGGCGCAACTATATTTATGTAAAGTTCTTTGTCCTTTAATAGCTCATCTATTCTGTTTTCTATTTCATCTTCAAGAACAGCGCATGTGTCTTCTTTGCATTCTAAGAAGTTTTTGTTGGACTTCATCTCTCCAAGAGGCGTCATCTCTGTCAACAAGTCTGTCATTGACAAATTTTAAGACTGCTCTGCTTAATGTTTTATGGTTCTTGTCATATTCCAGAAACAGAACTTTAGAACAAATTCACCTTTCTTGTTTACACTATGTAAGATTTTATGGTCGACAGATGTTTTGCTGTCGAAAAGCTTGTCTCGAATATAGATAGCGAAATCGCTAGACATTTTCTAAAAGATAAAAATTTTAATTTTTCTAAAAATATGTTAGAAAAAAAGTTTGCTGACATTGACAAGAAATTTGAGAATGTTTTAAATAAGAACAAGAGGAAGTTAGAAAATGCTCAGATAAAGCCTATACATGACAAGTTCTTATTTGCTCAGAATGGTATAACAGGTCTAATTGCACCACCTGGGTCGGGTAAGACTTTCACTTATCTTAAAATGGCTGCACAACAACAAGAACTAGATGAGAAGAACCCATTCTATGAGTTAGTTGTTATTTGTAGTACTTCGGGTCAATTTGACCAAACCGTCAATTCGTTCAAAGATATTATAAAGAAGTCTAAGTTAGTATGTATAAAAGACTCTGAGTTGTTAGATTGGATAAAGAAGTACCAAAGAAGAGTTTTGAAGTACAATGCTATAAATGAGTATATAAATTCTAAGTTTAAAGACCCAAATGAGGAAATGCAGAGAATATTAGAGAAGAAACACTTCAGAAACAAACAGAAAGAGATAGAATACATTTCGAAGAAATTGCAATCTTACGATTGGAAAACGTACCCTCATAGATGTCTTCTTATCTTAGATGATTTCGCCTCTCATCCTTTGTTAAAGAATAGAGAACAAGATATGTGTCGAATTCTTAAGAAGCTCAGACACTTTAACATCTCAGTTGTCATTTGTGTACAGACAGCAAAGAGTTTAAGTAAGGATGTTAAAAGAATACTTACTGACATTATACTTTTCCCCGGATTGTCCGAAGACGATTTCATGGAACTTATGAAAGAGTCCATGGCAGGTAAGTTTGACAGACATGAACTATGGAGAAGTACAAAGTCATACAAGACCCTCATACTTCTTTCAGAATTCATATCTACGCAAACAAAGTTCAAATTGTAAAAAGTCAAGCGTAAAAATAAAGAGTTCATTTACTCTACTTGTTTGAAGTTGTCAAAATACTCTGTTATTTTTTCCTTTAACAATGGCAAATCTTCTTTGAAGGTAAGTATTGTACAACCTTTCATATCATAGTGTGTTTGAGGTAAAGTATCTTGAACTATTTGTTTCACATCTTCATTTGGGGTCATTGAAATCGGTAAGTTTTCGCGATAGAACCAATTTCTGTCAGATTTGTAAATCTTAGCAAGGTCGTAAAGCTTTTGTTGTTTCTTCTGACTAAATGCAACATAACCATATCTTTATCTTCTTCATTTTCCATCTCTTCAGTATAAATCATATACTTATAGTTCTTTTCCTTTCCTTTTGGTACCGAACGTGGTATTCTTTTCTGAATGCTTTTGTCTTTTGCTTCAAGCTTGTTCTCTAGCTCTTCACGTTCTTGTCTATGAATTTCGTCAAGAAGTCTGTAAACATGCCATGCATAACGAGGCGAAGCCCACATTGCAACAGCATTTACAAGAAGTCTATGTACATAATATCCTCTCAAACCGTTTAGCAAATTTTTACGATTTTCGTACGGAATCTCGACTCGCGGTTTTCCTCGGGTCGCAAACATATGAGGAAATTCTTCTAAAAGTTCTTTTGTCTGTTGGTTTTCAAACCAATGATGTGCTTGCTTTGTAGAACGAAGAGCATTCAAAATACTTTGCATTTGGTACATGTCATCTTTGACTGAACGAATGAGACGTAACTGTTTGTTATACTGTATGTACTCATATTCTTCATTTATAGCTTCATGAACGATAGCAGTTGTTGTGTTCTCTGTTGTTGACATATCTGTCTTTACATACAAAATAAAAAAATAAATAAAAATAAAACTAACTTTATTTTTTCTATCTTAAGGAAATTCATGATTTTCATAGAGTTTTGGCGACTACGTTTTTTTACGTACTCGCTGTTCTTCACTGTTTTCATGAGTTTTAGGCGACCCAGATAAAAGTCGGTCTCGCTGTTCTTCACTGTTTTCATACGGAATCTCTACCCTCGGTTTTCCGAGGGTAGCAATCTTATGCCATTTTACTCAGATTTTTGTGCTGAATTCAGCAAAAATAATGTTTAGGTGAAGAGGTGCGATCTCACCTGTTTTTTCACCTGTTTTTTCACCTCTTGAATTTTCATGAATTTTCCCGAAATAAAAAATAAAGTTAGTTTTATTTCATTTATTTTGTATGTAAAGACATGATTTCAGGGATTTTTTTGACGAAGTGAAGGTTGACACTTCGTCAAATTTTAGCGTTATTTTTTCTATCTTTCACAAAAGACCAAAAATAAACGCTTTACATGTATTTTTCAGCAACTTCGTCAAATAATTTTATAGCTTTATCTATCTCATCTACTTCAAACGTTTCTTTACCTTTTATGGGAGCACCATACATTTTCTCAAACTTTTCGAGTAGTTCTGTTTCAGCAGCTCTCATATCATTAGCAAACACAACCTTGACTATATTGACTGTACTGTCATATCTTAGAGTTATATTATATGTTCTTCCTATCTTATATCTCTTTGTATTGAAGTCCTTCGGTTCTGAACGATGTAAAGTAAGCCTTCACTGCAACGTTCCGTATCGAATGAACCATATGTTATGAAGTTATATCCAACAACTGGGTCTAACCATAACAAAACTATTGGTATAAGACTTTTGTCGATGAGATATGCTGCAGTTCCATAGAATTTTACCGATATCATAAGCTCAGGATTTCTTGTCAAAATTTTCTGAGTAGAAGCATTTCTAACCCAGTCCTTCGGTTTCTTTCCAGATGGAGATATAATGTCTGACAAAGAATATTTGTTGTATTTCTTTGAGTATCTTACGTTTAAATCACCTATTCTAACCACTTTGGTGTCATTGTCTATCTTTCTAACTGTTTCAAACTCAATGTTTGTCATTTCTGTTCTTACATACAAAATAAAAAAATAAATAAAAATAAAACTAACTTTATTTTTTCTGTCTTAAGGAAATTCATGAAATTTGGTCATTTTTCAGCAAAAATATATTTTAGGTGAAGAGGTGAGATCTCACCTGTTTTCTCACCTGTTTTCTAACCTCTTTTTTTCACAAGCGTTTTACATGAATTGTACGATGTATATTTGAAATCCTAAACAGTTTTGTAGCTTCTATTTCTTCTTTTAGTACATCGAATGTTTTAACAATGCCGAAAGTTTCTTTATATTTCTTCTTGACGTCAGATAGAAGGAAATTTTCTGCTGTTGGATAGTTTTTGTCAAGACTTCTTCGTAAATGACCAAAAATATATTTTATGTTAGAATGTTAGATCTCACCTGTTTTCTCACCTGTTTTCTCACATGGTCTAAAACATACAAAACTCATGAATTTTGTGCTGAATTCAGCAAAAATAAAGTTTAGGTGAAGAGGTGAGATCTCACCCGTTTTCTCACCTGTTTTCTCACCTCAGTTATTTTATAAGCGTTTTACATGGTAAACGTTATTTTTGGAATTTTGTGAAAACTCAACGGTTTGACACATGCCCTAAAAATTATTTTACTCAGAATTTTGTGCTGAATTCAGCAAAAATATATTTTAGGTGAAGAGGTGAGATCTCACCCGTTTTCTCACCCGTTTTTTCACCTCAGTTATTTTATAAACGTTTTACATGAATTGTACGATGTATATTTGAAATCCTAAACAATTTCGTAGCTTCTATTTCTTCTGTCAGTATGTCAAAAGTTTTAACAATGCCGAAAGTTTCTTTATACTTCTTCTTGACGTCAGATAGAAGGAAATCTTCTGCTGTTGGATAGTTTTTGTTCAGAAATTCTAACATATCCATTTTATTTTCTGCTGGTTTTTCTGCTTCTTTCTTTAAGTCTGCATAGTCGTTTCTCATACGTTCTATCTCTTTGACGGAGTAGTTATATTTCCTCATTGCTGCTTTACATTTAGAACATTGCGGGTTCATTTTTGCGTTATATTCTGAAACCTTACCTGCTAAAACAACTAAAGCGTCAATTGCTCTCTTCATCTCAAAAGTTGCTGGTTTTATTTGTTTGTTCCATACCTTACCTCTTCTATCTTTATCTCTTATCTGCCATACACATTCAGCAACTAACGAAACAAAGTTGTCGTAGGTCTTAAATTCTTCAGATTTATATATGTCAGAAACATTCTTATATAACATGTCGCAATCTTTGTCCATAACCTTATGGTTGCAATGAAATCCTAGAAACTCATAGTTTACCTTTCGTATGAACTTCTTTATTTCTACTGAGTCAGTTGCTTTGACTTCAATTTCGTCGAATTCAGGAATGGTTAGTTTTTGTTGCTGAATTTCAGGTAGTTTAGGCAAATGGTCGATGAGGTCCTCCATTTCATAAAGATACTGTTCATTTGTTTCATCTTTCGCACTACAGTCTAAATTACTTGTTAAAAGTTCCTGCTTTATCTTCTGGATTTTTGTTTCGAAAGTATATGAAGAAGGAATGAAGCTTTTCATCTCTACTAACATAGATGTTGGATTCATAACTAACGAGTTTGGTACTGTTGTTGTTTGAACTGTTGTTGTGCCGATTGTTGAAATCATATCTTTTATACAAAATAAAAAAATAAAAAAAATAAAACTAACTTTATTTTTTATTTCGGGAAAATTCATGAAAATTCAAGAGGTGAAAAAAGAGGTGAGAAAACAGGTGAGATCTCACCTCTTCACCTAAACTTTATTTTTGGGTCCTTTACACTCATTACGAAGAAGTCTTGACAAAACATATACGATGAAGTCTTGACAAAACATGTACGAAGAAGTCTTGACAAAACATTTACGTTTAGTTTACGAAGAAGTTTTGACAAATTCAAGAGGGTGAGAAAAAAGGTGAAAAAACAGGTGAGATCTCACCTCTTCACCTAAACATTATTTTTCAATACTTTTTCAGCACTTTTCCGTAGTTATATATGAAAGACAATTCGAGATAAAAGTCATAGTACAATGGAATAATATGTTGCACACCATTTGTTGTGAACCAAACTTGAAAGTCAGAGAAACTGTTACTAGGTGGTTCGTAGAATTTAGAAGCAAAGTCATAAAAGTCCTTACCAATACATAGAAAACTATTGTTGCTTGAACTGAAACTTGCATGACACATAACATTTTGAGGGTCAAACACGTTTCTATAAACCATCAAATCTGCTGGTGGAAGTATAAATTGAAATGGACCATCTGGTGGTAATGGTTCGTTCTGGTTTAGTAACCGAAGAAATTGTGCCCAAGAACGTTTGTCTACTTCCCAAAATAAAAACTCTGTATCTCTTGGAGGGTTAATTTCAATCTTTTGAAATGAAACGGTGGAGTTCATCTTGTCATATTCTAGTTTCAGATAGTATGTTCCATTTAGTAAAGAGTCGTGTTTTTCTTGAAATTCCCAATAATATTTGTTCATTTGAGTTTGAAAGTCATTTAGAGTTTTCTCAAGACTTTCGTCTGAACGAACTGTAAAGATTCTCATTTCGTCAAATTTGTCTATTAGACCATCAGAACCTTTATACTGCCCATGAAAATATACTGCGAACATAAATGCGTTAGTTCTATTTGAAAACAAAACTCTTCTAAATCCTATTGCCTTTGCATCTGAAGGACTTTGAAGCCAACGAATTGGATAGTCAAACCTGTATATTCGGGATGAAATTTCTTCATCTGATATTGTCCTACCAGCATTTGTAAAGATATAGTCTAACGGTTTTGTATCTGCTACTTTTGTTCTTTGTTTTTCAACCTGAAGCATTTAATATATGTAAAAATATATTGTTTTAAAATGGTATGCCATATAGCTTCTTGAATTTGTTAAGAAGTATTTGAACGTTTTTTCCATCTGTATCTCTAGTGTTTACATAAGCATAGCCCGCCTTAGTAAAATATACTTGTAATTTCCTATAGTTTACGCCGGTATAAAAGTAGAAAGAGTCTTGTTCTTCGCTATAGTAGTAAAACTCAAACGTATGCTTGCCATAGTCTGTAATTTCAATTGTTTCATCTTCTAGTTCGTCGACAAATTCGAATACAATATCTCCAAATTTGCCTTTGTTCTTATTGTTTTCAGAACAAGTGACCCAACGTAAGTTTTCAAGTCTATTGTCGTTTCTTATATGGTTTATATGGTCTACAAAAGGTAAATTGTTAGGATTCAGTATAAAATGAGTTGCAATGACAACATGTTTAAGATAGTGTTTTCCACCCATACTAACTATAGCATATCCGTCATTCCCTCCATTCGCTTAAAACTCTTTTTGTCTTTTTGTTTCTGACTTCAAATGACTCACAACAGTGAATTTCATATTTCTCATCTAACAAAAGTTTCCAACGGTCTTCTCCAACAAACTCAGCGTACATTTCAAATAAAATAAAAAAATGTCACTTTTAAAAAATAAATTTTTACTTCATGCAATGTTCACTAACATCGAAAGGCATGTCCATAAGACGTTCTTCTTCTAACCTCTCTAGTCTGTTTGGATAATTTGCACGTGCTGTTTCCAAATCCATTTCGTAGCGAAGACCAGCCAGTTTGTCATAGACTTTTATGGGTCTTCCCTTCCTATATTTAAACTTCTTCGAAACTCTCCAACCATATCTTTGCAACTCTGCTTTTATTCTAGCAGACTTTCTATTCATTCTATATGGGGGCATTTTTATAAAAATAAAAAAATGTTTTTTTTCTTTACTTTACATAACCACCTGCTGCCATAAGTCTTTGACGCCAACCCATACCAGCTAATGAAGGTTGACTTGGTTTAGTTTGGAAACTAAACTTTGGTTTTGGTTTATCTTCAGTTTTTGGTTTTTCTTCTTCTATCGGTTTTTCGTCACTTTTCGGTTCCTCTGATTTTTCCCCACTTGCAGGAACAGTTGTGTCGTCAACATCTTCATAAATATCATATGCCATTTGTTTTTGTTTTCCTTTCAACTTTTTGTGTTTGTTGTAAAGTTTAGAATATTTCGACTCTAAGTCAATGAGATGTTCTATAATGAACTGTTGGTCAGTGAAGTAAACTTTTCCATCTGTTGTCTCGAAAGCTCCTTCAGACTTCAATATTTTATTTGTGAGAGTCTGTTTCTTTTTTGAGATACTAGCCGTTCCATTTTTATGAAAAGTGACTTTGTAGTTAGGGTTTGTATTTCCAGACCTGGCACTTTCTATTATTGAATTTTTCTCTTCATCTGTAAGTTCTTTGACAGGTTTTGACAATGGTTCTGAACTTTTTGTTTGTGGTGTCAAATCTACCGTTTCAACTTCTTCGGTCATTTCATCTCAGTAAAAAATTTTAGTTTGGTTTGTTTTCAACTGGTTGTTGTTGTTTTTTAAGTCGGTCTAAAACTTCCTGAGGTATAGGAAGAACTTGACAAACACATTGTGTAACTGCTGGAAGTCGACAAATCCATCTTGAACCCATTTGTCTCAATGCTGTATTGTTCATTTCATCTCAGTAAAAAACTTTACATTCCCCACGTTTGAGGCGGTTGAGGTTGGTTATTGTTTACCCATTGTTGTGCATGGTTATATCCTCTGTTAAAGAATCTTTCACCTTGGTCCATATAGTGTCCTGCTTGGTTATAGTAGTCATTTGCTTTGTTATAATAGTTTCCTGCTTGTCTTCCTACATTGTCCATCCATCCTTGAACTTTTCCTCTTGTTTCAGGATTTGGAATAAGATTTGCTGCATCTCGTGCTACATCCCAACCTTTCTGTACAGTTTGTATAATAGGTTGTGCTTTCTCTTTAAGTATACCTAATGTACTCAAAATCTTCCTTCCAACTCCAAATACACCTCTGGCTATTGTTCCCACTGCGGGCAAAAATCTGGATGCAACTCCTGCTAATGCGCCAAATAAACCCATTTCTTATGGGTTAAAAAATGACGAATCCAAACAAGGACCCCTATGTTTCTAAAGCGACAAAGAAAGCACTCATGATAAAAATCTTTAGTTCAACACCAAATGCTTGGTTTATGGATATCTTGGAAAACATTCCGAGGTATAGAGAAGATGGACCACCATACTGGCTAATATTTGTCGGTCAAAACACAAATACTGTGAAGCCATACCATTATGGTCCAAAAATATTTTAGATGTGAAAACTGCTTTGACAATATTCGTTGACAAATACCATCCAACAAAACTGACATCTGACTGTGAAAGTTCTTTCAAATCAGATGATGTAAAAAACTATCTGCGTTCAAAAAATGTAAACCAATATTTCATTGTCGACCAAAACCATTCTGCTCTTGGTGTCATTGACGGTTGTATAAAAATGTTAAGAGACTTAAACCAACCACAAGGTGGTGAAGCAAATGAAATGTCATATGACGACAAATATAGACACTTCTCCATGGCAAAGATGAGACAAGTTTTAAATATTTACAATAGCCGTAAACAAAAAGGTTTGGGAAACCACTCCCCCGAAGAAATGAAAAACAACCCTGACTTAGAGAAAGACTATATATTTAATAATTTAGTCAAAAGAGACAAACAAGAAAGAATGCCGGGCTTCAAACTTCAGAAAGGTGACAAAGTAAAAATAGAAATACCCAAACGCGACCCATATGAAAATACTATTGACTATGACAACAATGGGAACCCGACAGGTACTCACATTCGTGTTCGTAAAAATAGAAGAAAGTATACAAGAGAATATTATGAAGTTTTAGGCAAACATGGCAAAATGTACACACTGCAAGCAGAAGATAAAACTACTATTGTCAGACCTCGTTTCAAACTTGTCAAAGTTCAAGGTGGTATACTTTCAAAGACAGTTCCTAACAAATATAAGACAACTCCTGACGAATATGCTAAAGAAGTTGAAAATGACGACTAAGCAATTCTATACCATGCGTAAACTGTCATGTAAGGTGGCATGTAGTCTTTACTTTGTCCCGTTGTTTGCGTATATCCCGAAACGCGATGTGTATGGTTTCCATCTCCCTGAGTGTCACCCCAAAAACAATTTATAGCAAACTGAACGTCGTCTTTAACATCATATCCTTTACCTTTTTTCATTGCTGACCAATCCCAAAATTTATGCTTATGCCAACCTGCTTGAGATGTACTTAAATCTATGTAGTGACTGTGCGCAGGTAAATTTTCACCTGAAATCGTTTTACTTCCTCCTGTTTCCTTTGAAGAGTTTGCACAATACAAAAACCTGTCAACTATTTGTTCCCATGCACCAACACCAAACATTACTTGAGGACCTCTTGCTTCCATAGATGTATAAATAGAACCTACTGGGTTCATTAAATCAAACATATGAGATAATATAGGATTGTCTCTTTTGAACTTAAAATATAGTGTAACTATTTCTGGTTTCTTCTGGTTTGTGTCAGAATATTTTTTATAATATAATCTTATGTTTTCGGGGTAGGTAAAATCTTGACTATAATATTTATTTTTGTCATCTATATAATAATATACTATTCTCGTTTTTTCTATTGCATTATATCTTTTATATCTATAATATTCTAAATATAATGTTTGCTTTTTTGGGTCTACACGTGCGTCAACACCATAGTCATAATAATATGGTGCTGGAGCTGGGTTAGGTAATGTCATATCTGCCATTTCATAAACTCTTAAATATTTCTTTTGTTCGTCTCCATATAAGTTTAAGTAACAGTTGTTGTCTAATGGAACTTTAACTTGTGTACCATTATTCTTTATATAGCTTACATACATTTCATTGTTATTTTTCGGAATGAGTTTATACCGTATACCATTTTTTAAGGACTGTACAAACTCCCATCTAAAATATTTATTTTCTTCATTGACAGAAACATCCCCAACAATAGTTTCAATATTTTTTGTTGTTCCTATCAAACTTTGGTATATTTCATTGACATATGTTTTATCTGCTTTATTTTCAAGGCTAACGTTTAAGTCTGTTATTTCAGATATAGAATGTGTATGTCCAACGTCACTTTTCCTGTTTAAGGTTTCTTGTAAGTTTGTAATATTTGCAATGGTATGTGTATGTCCAACGGCACTTTTATTGTTTAAGGTTTCTTGTAAGTCTGTTATTTCAGATATAGAATGTATATGAGTCTTTTTAGAATATTCGTTTTCAGCTCTTGTCACTTCACTTGACATTTTATTGTCAACATATGTTTTGTCTGCTAGTTCAGGATGAGTATGTTCTTTTGTTGCATAAGCATTGTTAGCTCTTTCTTCTTCTTTTGCTATTGCATCGTCTACATATTCTTTGTCAGCTTTGTTGTCAACATCTGCTTTCAAAAGAAGTTCATTTATAGGTTTCTCGTTTAAAGTTCCTTTTGTTGGATTTATACAGACAGTATGGTTCTTATTGTCTTGAAACAGAAACTCATCTGTCATTGGGTTTAATGTCAGTTTTAAGTTTCCTTCTTTCAATGACTCAGATATCTTAGAATAGTTTGAAAAGTTTGTTGTGTTCTTATTTAGAGCTTGCACAATGAGTTGTCGGTTGTGTTGTATTTCTCTCATGGAAGCAATATCTTTCGACATTTTTATTCTAGATAAAATATGCTTCCAATAGAAAAAGAAAATTCAAGAGTTGCTACAACTAAACCATTAGATGAACTTTTTACTAATGTCGGTCAAAAGTTTGAGACAGAGACCGTAAAGCATGAAGGCTATCGTTTTGACTACCCATTAAGATGGCTAAGAGACCCATCTGTCACAAAAGCTATTGGCTTTCGTAGAATGAAGTTTGTGTCTGTAGAAGATAAAAGTTTTCCATTTATTGTAAGGTTTCATATAGATTATATATCTGAAGGGAAACGAAAAATGTGGGAAGAAATTGAGCTAATACAAGTTGACCTTTCATCTTCTCTACAGACTGCGTTAAAAAATATAGAAGATAAAATAAATTCATGTTATGCAAAATATGCTGATGAATATGCAAATACCGAGAGCACACTTTATGTGAGAATTGTATATGACAAACAAAATTCACAAGTGTCATTTCAAATCTACGAAGACAATCCAAAGAAAGACGAACAAATATATACAGAATTCACTGCAATGTCATGGTATTATTTGCAAAGAATGTTAAATCAGAAAGTCAAACTTCCTTTAGCAAATATTTACAGTCGATATGCAAGAGATGAACCATATTTATTTAAAGATGTTTTCGACCCAGCTGCTATTATTGTTCATGCTTCATTTTCTGGCGCCCAAAACTCTTTCTTATGCTTGGCAAATGACTTTTACGAAAAACCTACAAAGTTATACGAACCACCAAGTGGAAGTATTTCAGACTTTCAAGTATGGTTTACTACAGATGGAAGAAAAAGAATAATTCCATTATACCATGCGTTTTACTTAGAACTTAGTTTCATATACAACTACTATCGAACGGTAAAAATATAATTTTTTAATACGGTTGAGGTGTTGGATTTGGTTGCCAACTAGACTGTGGTGCAGGTTCAGGCTGTTGTATAACAGGAGCTTGTTCTTCTGGTTCAGGGTCTTTAGGTATAATACCAACAAACTGACCTACTCTTTTACCAATATTTTTGACTCCGTTCCAAATTCCTCTTCCTACGGTTTTTATTCCATTCCATATACCTCTTCCAACATTTCGAAAGAAGTTTCCAATACTACTGAAGAAACCCATTTTACTATATGTAAAAATCTAATGTCCGCCTAGTCTCTTACGTTTCCTGTTGAGTTCCATAGCATTCTTTAACTGGAGCTCATACATTCTGTTTCTCCTCTGGTAGAAAACATATTCTGGGTCAACTCCTGTGTTCGCGTCATCTGCATAAAGTTGTTTATATCCCACTTCAGGGTTTGTATAAAACTCTTTCCATCTCATATTTGCATACCATGGTGGCAAACCTAACGCAGCGTCATTTGACATGGCAGTTTGCATTTGTACATCTGTTGGCACTTGACCATAGTTTGCCATTGCAGTTTGTATTCTAACTTCATTTGGAATATTCTCTGGGTTTGGTTGTCCAGGTTGCTGTGCATTCGCTAAGTTCTGTGCGTCCATTTAATATTAGATAAAAATATCTCTTACGAGTACATATACTGAACATTTGCAGGCATTGGTTCATCTTCATATTCTCTGTACTTTTCTGCCACGTCAAAGAAATAAATGACACAATGGAAAAAACCTAAAACAAGTAGTCCGATTTCAAACCACATTTACTTACTAATAAAATTTCTTTGTTATGACACTTTCTCCAGTTTATAGGACCTCTCTCATATTCTATCTTGTCATATATAAACTCATAGTCATGTATGTCCTCTAACCATCTCATAACGGTTTCCAAACCACTTTTATCGGATGTAAAGTAAAAGCATGGATGGTTATGTAAAACGTCTAAAGTTTCTAAAGAGTCTCTCAAAGTCCAGTCTACTTGGTATTGAAAATCCCATGTGTTATAGAACGGCGGGTCCACTATAAAGAAAACATTTTCCTTGTCTTTATATTTTTCATACAAATCTGTCCAATGACATCTCACAAACTCTATACCCTCAATATATTTTTCTATGTCCTCTTTGAAAACATTTGTATAGTTAAGATATAAAACTTTTGACATAAGTGTTTCAATGTCATGAACTCTTATAGCACCACTATATAATAGTCTAGCAGATATACTATCCCAGTCTATATATTCTGCTTTTTTCAAAACCTCTCTCACAATATTTTTCTTATCTAATGGTATACGTTCCATCTTACCTATAGGTATCTTTTCTTTTAACTCTTTCAATATATTGTTTGTGTCTGGTATATGTTTGAGACGGTCCATATAGTTGTCGAAGTCATTGCATATAATCTTTGAGTCAGGAAATACGGTATGACATAAATGGGATATATAGAAACTTCCACCGAACAAATCTACAAATGTTAGACCATTCGGTAGTTTCTTAAGTTCTCTCAATATAATATCTTTACATTTACTCTTATTTCCAAAGAACGGTAACGGTGGTTTTGTAAAATTCATTTATATATAATAATAAAAATGTTTTTACCCGAAAAGTGACAGAAAAGTGACAAACCATGAAAACATATATAATTTGTGAAAAGTGAAAAATTATATAATGTTTTCGACCCAGAAGAAGGCTTCTTCCCAGAAGCAATGGAGGAAGAAGAAGAGTCCTCCGAATTCACACCAGAAGACTAACAATTTTCCGAATAAAAACTTCATTTATACTAAACATCTTCGGGGCTAGAGGGCACGAAGTGCCTGGAAGCCCCACTACCTTTTTTTTTTTTTTTTTATTTTCAGTTCCAAACTTTACCAAAGACTGAAAATAGTCGTCGAAATTTTTAGAAAAAGTGAAAACGCAATTACTAGATATTCCTTTGACATAAAGTTCCATTTACTCATTGTCTGTAGCGGTACAATTAAATCAAATATATCATCAGACTTTTGTATTCTATATCTTTTTATCTAATTATTGCTGATCAATCTCTTTTGTTGAATGAATTCAAGCAGAAGTTCAAAAACCATAATCTAGACCATCATGTTTGCATGGAAAACCTCTAGAATTAACAATAAATGATACCAAAAAATTCAAATTCATCAAAATTTTAAATAAAAATGTTGCAAGTTAACAATTATTGTGATGATTCTAGCGTATATCCCTTCTAGCTAAGATATTCCATTCAAAACTATTTACATAATTCGGAACTCTGGATCCGCTAATTCAATAAATTCAAACAAACTTTCTCAATTTGCGATCCAAAATTTTCAAAATTCATAGTTTTAATTTACACACGAAATCTAATTAAAAATCAAAACTCATTGAATTAAAAATTTAAAATTGAATTGATTTGTAAATTTTTTTCTAAAAATTGTTTTTCTCATTCACACTGATTTCGTTATTTTGTTCTTTAGCAGCTAGTGTTCAAATTCCACATGGAAGTTCATATGTTTCAATAAAAAGCACTCCAGAGCTTCTCCAATTTCCAGAAAGTGCTTATGGCTACCCAATTTACGTTGTTATGCTAAACTCTGATAATTTCATTCTCACTAATGGCTCATTGCTTAATAAAGTCTATAAAGATCCAGAACCTTTCTATATTCAGCCAGCAAATTCACAAACAACACTTTTATACGTACAAACTTTCGAAATTGATCAATCATGTAGTACAATTGATTTCGTTCTTAATTACTACAAAGATTCGGTTCAGATAACATCAGATTTAATGAAAGACTCAAAATCTTATTGTATTGCTTTTGCAAGCTCTTCTTACATGAATTATTACTTCTACAAAGAATCTATGACAAATGACATCCCGTATATTTACAATTCCTATAATACTTATTCATATGCAGTTTCTTTGTCTTATTACAACACTTATTCAATAGGAATGACAAAATTCTGCATATTTAAGCTTACTACAGGCACTCTAGAACATACAGGATCCGCTGGATTAAGTACAATGTCTTTTTATTCTGGATCAAGTACAAATATCGTAACAAACGGAATTTATTACTATCTAGGAGTTAGTCATATTCTCCCTCAATCAATTAACTCTAATTCTGAACAAGAAAGAACAATTAGTGTAAATAACGACTATATACCACTCCAACCAGGTTCTTACAGCCTTACATTCGCATCAGGACAATCATATCTTGTTAACTCATCATCTTTCGTTATATTTCATACACCAAAATCAAAAAATTCAAATGATGTCACAGTTACAGCGAAATCTGGCAAGAATTCCAAGAAAATATTGGGAGACACAAACATCTATGCCGTTTTCTACGAATCTCCTGGCCAAATTATACTCAATACAACTAAAAAATATTCAACAGTTCTTATGACGGTTTTTTCATCGACAAACAACGATGAAAAGTGCGACTCAAGAATTGTATTGCTCGGAAATACATCACAGACCATTATAACTGATAATTTTCCGAAAGAATATCAACTTGATGAATTTTTCATCGCAAAAAAGGACAAACACTACTGTTTTTATTCAGCATTTGTACCGGGATATGTAAATATTACGACAGAAGAGCTTGGATCCCTTTCTGCGACAACTTATGATACAAGTGACTACTATTACTCAACGTATACCTTAAATATATACCGCTATCCTGTCTTGTTTATTGTCAGTCGTATTTATTCCAGCTCCGATTACGGCGCATTTGTTATTTTTTCCAAAAGTTTTGAATATGGCTACAAATCTGCTATATTAAAGGACGATTCGAAGGCAGATTCGCGATTTATATACATATCTGACTACGATCCCACAAAATACATTATAATTGGTGTTATTTGCGGTGTTATATTTATTATTTTAATTGTTTTGTGCATTGTTTGCTGTTGCTGCAAGAAGAAAAAGAAAGTTACTGGAGAGAATGAGAATTGCTCTTCTTCATCATCTTCTGAGAACAGAATTCGTGTAAGTTCTGGAGGGAACCACATTTTATACAGAACTCCCCCTCAATATCCTCACCCTCCAAATTTGAACTACGAAATACAGCCTCCACAGTACAGTCCTGAGCCAATCAACCCGTATATGGCTCCTGTAATCCCAGAACAACCAAGAATGTACTATCCTGCAATATCACAAGAAGATTCAAACTTGAAGTTGGATTATGTCAATGGACCAATACATGATCCGAATGGATACATACCACACAGCATTCCTAACTCAGGACGAGACCAAATTTATCCCCAAAAACCAGATAATATTGTAACTAATCCTTATGAATAAACTGTTTTTATCATGTTTCTACAATTTTATAATAAAAATGCTTCAAATAGTTTATAATTTAAATTACTTCTGATTTTTGTTGATTTGAATGGAATTTTCAGATTTTGCAATCGTAAATTTTGAAAAAAAGACAAGAAAAATTATTTGAATTCACTTGAATTATAAATTTGTTATCGTTCTTACACTTTTTGAGCGAAGCTGGAGTTCCCAAAGATATCTGGGAAGAATACTATGGACCACCGGGTGAAAAATACACCACTATCGAATCAAACGAAAAACATACTATTTCTCAAAATTTCTTTTTACTTTCTTCAAACTTCTTTAATTTCACATCGAATGTCATTGATTGCAGTATAAGTTCTATTAAATTCCTTCATTCGATATGCACATATACAAATATTACACGAAGTTCAGGGTACGGTGGTTGCATCTACTTCTATGGCAACAGTTCTATTGTCCAAGACCGATTTTGTTCTATTAAATGCTACACACCAAACAATGGAAAGCATTCATATACAGAAGTTCAAACAGCAACAAACAAAAATTTTGTCAACTTAAGTTCTCTCTATCAATGCGGTCATGATGACAAAGGAGATTCCAGTATATATCATTCTTATGGAGATAAAACTCTTATTTCTACAAACAACACTTATACGAGATGTCAAGGATGGGCTGGTTATCAATTAGAAAATAATCCATCTAATGTTAACTTTTGTTGTTTCATTTCTAATGATAACCAACAAATAAATGCCATTTGCATGAATCATTATAAAACACCTGATTCATTTGTTAAAAATTCAATCTTCAAAAACAACACAGCTCAAATTCAAAATGGAGGTTGGGGTCTTATTACAACATCATATACAAAAGTTACAGTTTCAGAATGTATTTTGATAGGAAACAAAGCAGATCATACTTTTAGTGCTGCTAATAATGGTATTATTACAGTTATACACTGCAGAGGAGATGATTTGTCTGCAAGTAAAACATATAATGGAGGTTCATTTAATACAGATGAAATCGCAACTGATCCATTTGATCTTCCACTTTCACTTCTTTCATTAGGTCAATGCGAAGCAGAAAATCCAATTTCAATCGAACTTATTTTAAATGAAATTGAAAAGAAAAATAGTCATGTTTCTGATGAATTCGGTTATGTAAAATTAAGGATGCCCAGGCGACGTCGACGATATGTAAACTACTCAAAATTAACCTTAATCATATTGCAATGCATGGAATGGAAAGTTTAGAAGCATCTAATATATTAACATTCAAAGTGCTTTTCTGAAGGTGACTTATTGTCTCCCCTGCACCCTTAATTTTAACTCTTGAATGTTTACTTAATTTAAAAAGTTCATAATTAAATCCAATTTTTATGAATTATATCTATTATTGTGATATGAGATTAATATTATCAATTCATGAAGAGTTATTCCGTGATATATATCAATTGAAAGAATAACAAGTTTTTTTTTTGCAAATCACTCCAAATCACTTGATTATATGAATATATGTCAAATATCACTCATAATTAATAACAGAAATTGTACTTTTAATTTGCCAAAAATTGAAAATTTTTCATTTCTCTAGTTTCTTGCCAGAATCAATATAGAGTTCATTTTCAAAAAGTGAAATTATTATTGTGTGGGAAAAAAATATCAAAGTTCCCCACTTAAACTCTATATATATATGACACTGAGCATCATATAATAATTAAAAAAAATCATTTATTCTATATTGGAAACATTGAATTCAGAACATTTCGTTGTCCGTATGACAGATATTCCAAATATCTGTGAATTAGGATAAATGTCTGATACATAAAACTCTATTTCAGAGTTCGAAGGAATCTCTATGTCATCAGAGAAAGTGATTCTTCCACAGTAAAATATTTTCTCCAAAGAAACGCAGTTCGAGAAAGCGCTCACAGAGAAATACTCTGCGGTCGGAGGCAATATCAAAACACGGAGTTTGACACAATCACTGAAGAAATGTTTGCCAAAACAAATGATCTTCGTTTTAGACAAATCAAGAATTTCGATAGTCCTGCATCGTTGGATGAAAAGACCTGAGTCGAATTCAAGTTCTGGCATAGTCAACGCTCTGATTGATGTCGTAGAAAATGCATGATTTGTCAGTTTGTACTTGAGATGTGAGAATATGACTGTCTTCAGAGATTTGCAATTGAAGAAACAGTTCTTTGGGATGAATGTGATTTGACAAAATCCAAAATCGACTTTCTCCAAAAACAAACATTGATAAAATGTGCTTTCACCGATTGATGTAACTGTGTGAGGGAATGTGACGTTCTTGAGACCTGAATTCGCAAAACAGCTTTTTTGGATAGTTTCGAGATGATGAGGCCACTTGATCTCTGTAAGTTTCATGCAATTGTAGAATGCACGTGGTTGTAATGTAGATATATGACATAGTGACAAATCGAGAGTCTCTAAATAAATAGCATTCATGAATCCTTCTTCTTCAATATCAACAAGACTTCGTGGACATATAATCTCTTTCAACTGTGTCCCATGGAATGAATTAGAACCGATAGACTGCAATGTCTCTGATAAAATGATTTCTTTCAGAACTGGACACTTTGAGAAGATGAAACTAGGCAAAATTTTCAAATTTGTTTTAGAAAAATCGATCTTCTCGAGAAGAGGACAAAAGAGTGAATTGCTTTCTAATGTCTGTAAACCATTGAAAACGAGTTCTGGAATGTTAGATGTGTTGAACGCGTTCTCACAACAAACAACTAATGATTCTGGAAAAATGACATTCTTCAGATGTAATGTGTCTGAAAAAACGTTTGGAAGAATCTCGGTCAGATTAGAATGAGACAAATCAATAGTTTCTAATGATGAGTTTGAGAAAACGAATGGGAGCAGTTTGCAGCCAAATGGAACAACTAATCTCTTAATTCGTGTTCCATCAAAGACATATTCTTGAATCTCTTCAAGATATGGTGGTAAATAGATTGTATCTAGACAAAAACAATTCATGAACATTCTCGATTCGAAACAGAATATTTGTGTGTTAGAAAGATTAACAATAGATAAGTTGTGAACGTCAATGAGTCCGTTCCTGATGATCTGAAGACTGTCTGGGAATGTTAAATTATGCATGTTTGTGAATGAAAATGAAAATTCTTTGATCGATGTCAAGTTCTGTGGGAAGTTGATTCGATCGAAGAGAGGACATTTGAAGAACATCATCTTAGGGATCGTTTTCATTTTAGTGTTTTTCAGTTCAACATAAATCAAGTTTGGACAAAATGAGAATGCCATAGATTTAACACGCATAACTGTACTAGGCAAAATAGTATATCGGAAACCTGTTCGTTCAAAACACGATTTTTCGATGTATGTCAAGTTATGTGGGTAATAAATAGAAGATAAATTTGGACAGTTTTTGAATAGATTCGTTGAAAAAACTTCAACTGATGTTTGTGAAAAATCACAAAATGATAAATGTTCGTTGTTCATGAATGTACCTGAACTAACATTCCTCAAACCAATGAATTCGAGATTACGAATGTTAGTGTTACAAAATGATTCTTGACCTAAAAAGCGTAAGTGATTAGAAAAGTTGACTTTGTATAAATTGATGCAGTTCTTGAATGAAAAATCGCCAATGAATGTGATGTTAGTTCGATTGAAAGATATCGATGTTAGTTTCGTGCAATTAAAGAATGCTGAATCTTCGATTGACTGAAGATTTCTTGGGAATACGATGTTTTCGATTGATGAAAATTTGAAACTTTCTTTCTCGATGATTTCGACTGTTTCTGGAATACAAATATTTTTCAAACTGATAGTATTCATAAATAATTGCTTAGAAATGATTTTGAGATGAGTTTCATATATTTTGACATCACGCAAAAGAGTACAGTTAGAAAATGCACCAGGATCAATCGATATCAAATTTCGTGGAAATTCGATTGTTGATAGTGATGTTGAAGAAAATGAAAATTCTCCGATTTCGATCAATTCAGATGGAAGTATGATTTCGATAATATTAGTCATGAAGAAGCAATAATGTGGGATAATTGTTATGTGTGTAGATCTCAAATCAATTGTTGAATGAAGATTTGAATTACAAAATGTAAAATTATTTAAATGTATTAAATTAGAAGGTAAATAAACTGTGATAAGATTACGACAGAATGAAAATGCATTCTCTTTGATTTCTTCGATATTTGTATTCGTGATGTTCAATGATTCAAGACCACAGTTGAAAAATGATGATCTTCCAATGATTTTTGTGTGTTGAGAGATACAAAATATATTCAGTTTGATACAATTGAAGAATGTAAAATCTGGAATGTATTCTGTTTCTAACAATGAAAAATCTGCTTTGATCAATGTAGAAATGTTAGAAAATAATGATTCACAAATCTATTTCACTGATGATGGAAGAGAGATTTCTGATAAACATGTTTGTGAAAATGCGTTATCAGATATGTTTTCTAAATGATGTGGAAACTTGATTGTTTTAAGATTCGTGCATCCGTAGAAGATACTTTTGTTCAATGTTGTGATATTTGTCTCTGATAAATCGATATAATCAAGATTTTTGCAATAAGAAAAAGCGTGACAATAAATATGACTTATATTTTGAAAATTAAAACTCGTAATGATAGTCCCTTTGAACGAAGATTCACCAATAACTTTAATTGTTTGTGGAAGTAAAATTTTTTCTAATTTGTAACAATTTGAAAATATTTCATTTGGAAGTTTTGTAATATTAAGTATTTGCAGATCAACATACTCTAAAGAAGCAGAGTCAGCAAAAGCTCCGTCATTGAATATTATGTTAGATGAATTTGCTAAATATTTTTCAATTCCTGTATTTGAAAAGCAATATTCACCAAAATGAACTACAGATTCTGGTAATAATATGTATTTTAGTTTCGGTGTGTTCAAAAAACAATTATTCGGAATTTTTGAAATACTCGTTTTTGATAAATCAACTGATATAAGAAAATCATTATTCTGGAAGGCGCCAACATCAATTTTTGTAATCTTTCCAACAAATTTTATATCTGTTAATCGTGTATTTTCGAAAGATTTACTACCGATTTCGTTGATTTGATAAAATTCGTTATCAATTTATGTATAGTTTGGTATTACTAGTCTATTCTTTATCTCTGCTGAACAAAAGAAGTCAGATTTGACAACCTTTGTGATTTTGAAAGTATTATTTTTGGAATTTTGACGGAAACATATCTTTTTACACATGACAATTGTACAGTGTTCGATATCGTAATCTGTTTCGTCTGCATCTGCTGATAAAGAATGCAGACAAAAAAGATGAATCAACATTCACCAAAAAAACTATTTCAAAATGAAGAAATTCTACTTCAATATTAAATAAATGACTAGAAAACTTCATGGCAAACAAAAACAAAGTTAAATTGTCTCGTATAAATTTGATAAGATTATTTTTGGCCATATATTAAGAAACTTAGTTTTGATTTGCATAATATGGATTGAGTGACTTTAGGAATTGCTTATTATTGTTTATTTTTGGTTGATTTTGTTGTAAAATTATGATGAAATATGATGAAACAGCTTCATATAATATACGTGAAAGTGTGCAAACTTAGATTCAAAATAATATATCCGAAGTTGAGATAAATTATCTGCTGGATCTTACGCTTTTATGCAACGATTTTAAAAACCATGATGTAATGAATATTATAGCATACGTAAATACATGAATGTTTAAGAAATAAAAACAAACAAATTAAAGATTCCAGAATCGAGGAAGAGGTAAAGATGAAGGGCATTCTAGCTTTGGTGGAGACAAAAATGGTTGTTCTACAATTGTTTTATCAGAACCATCAAGCAGGTTTGATAATTTCCTCAAATTGTATTCGCTCTTACGATATAAGCGTGGGAAGCTATGTACTTTATTAATATATCTTTCGAGTAACTTAAATTTCTCGTTTTTAATTTCCTGTATGTAATCATCTCCGAATTTGCTATTAATTTTGGATTCTGTCCTGAAAGGATCGACTGAACATATTAAGTCCCAATTTGAAATATTATAGTACCGAAAACTAAATGTATCGGAAAGTTTCATGCCTTTGTATATAAAAATGTTATCAGAACCCTCAGTTTGTCGAAGTACATTAATCAAAGAGTCAGGTTCAACAATGTGCAGCGTTAATCCTTTAGTAATACTGAGCAATTTTATTGTTAGACATGATTTGCTTTCCATAATTTTCACAAATTTGTATTCTAATAAATTTTAAAAATTGATAACAAGTTTAGCAATCAAAATTTTTGTTCTTGAAATTCATCTTCCATCGCATTGAGCATTATTTATGATATAAAATTTCAATTGGATAAGAAATTTCGCATAAGAATTTGTCAAAAAGAATTCGGAATAAAATAATTTAGAAAGAGTAACTTTTTCAATTCAGATAATATAGATGTTTTTGTATTTCAAATATTTGAATTCATTTTCAAAAATTTCTAAAGTAACGCAACTATAATTCCTATTCTGAATTTAATTAAATGATATACATAATAAACAGATAATTTAGGTTTTGAATTTAACCTCCATAGAATTAATTTTATGGTCGGATATTATATTTGCATTTATACATGTCGATATTTTTAAATTTTCATTTTCTGAGGAATACAATTGAGTTGTCAGATTATGCAATTAACTTTATAAACAATATCCATCTAGCAATTTTAAAATAAACGATGAAAAAATCTGCAAAATAATCGAAATTCAATATATCACTTCAACATTTTATCGATTTAGAAATAAATTATGATTCATGCTTAATTGCCTAATGTTTAGCGTGAATCATATTAATCTCCAAACAAGACTGTTTTTAATTACAATTTTACATTTCTCCTCCTATCCGCTATTATTTTATACCAATCAATAGATATGCATTTTGCTTGATGTTCACACTTTTCGACTTAAGGTGATTCTACAAGGCTTTTAATATGAGTTTTTAAATATTGAAGATCAAAGGAAAGATCCATTGCCTATTTTCCACAAATAATCATATGATGTATATTATAAGGCATTCTTTTAATGCAACTGATAATACCGCCCATAAAAATAGAATGAATTGGAATAACAATGTAAATGAGAGTTTTAAATTCACATAAATAATAATGATCATCTAATCAATAATTTTGGTTACTGTATACAATTGATTTCATGGAATAATTTTCAATGAAGTTATTAGGTAATAAAATGATATAAATCAGTATAAGATACATATGAATCCGATTGTTTTACATTGATTAAAATGAGTCAAATGGTTCCGAAGAAAAACAAGTTGAATTTATTGAAATATTTAGAAAAATCATTCTTCAACAGTAGAGTACATACAAGTATGATGATTTAATGTATACTGTGATGAGTGAAAGCCATTAGAATATAAAAATAAGGTGATATTTCAAAATATTTTGATAAATTAGGGAAAAATCAACATTGACTACATATAGATCTGATTATTTGCATACATTAAGGTGAATAAAGACATTTAATATATTAATATAAGTTGTTATTGAATTCTCATTCATCAACAATTTAATCCACAGGTATTTTATGATTTAATATCAGGAACATATACAGATATTGTGGTGAATTATCTACAATCATACTTTCATTCATACTAATATGAAGAAAAATGAAAATAAGTTAACTTGCGTGAAAATTCATTGATAATCATTATAAGTTATAGATATTTGATGGTTCGATGTAAGTATTACATACGAATACTGTGATAAATAATGTATATTTATGACTACATGCATATAAATTTGAAGAAGAACTAAAAATAAGTTGATCATTAAAATTATTCTGAAAAAATCATTCATCATCAGTATAATTAGCATGTGTTTGATGATTTCATACATATCAATTTGAAGAAAAAATGAAAATCATTTGAAATTAAAAAATATTCTAAAAAATCATTCATCATCAGTATAATTAGCATTTGTTTGATGATTTCATGCATATTAATTTGAAGAAAAAATGAAAATCATTTGAAATTAAAAAATATTCTAAAGAATCATTCATCATCAGTATAATTAGCATTTGTTTGATGATTTCATGCATATCAATATGAAGAAAACCTAAAAATGAGTTGAAAGTAAAAAATAATCTAAAAAATCATTCATTATCAGTATAACATATACATAATATGATAATTATATGTGTATTAATATCAATAAAAATGAAAATAAATTAGTCTTTAAATATAATTCTAAAAAATATGATAATAACATCGCAAATAGTAAATATATAAATATAAGTTAGTCCTCAGAGTTGGAAGAATAATCACCGGAGCCACTGCTTTCGCTGAATTTCGAAGGTTTTCTTCTTGCAGACTTAGAAGCATCTCCTTTCTCTCCTTCGTCATAATCAGGTACAGCGAATGCATCGAACGTAGAGAAATCCCTTCTCTTTCTTTCTCCGACGCACATTGAGTTGAAATTCGAAATCAACTGAGCGTCGTTGTCTTCTTCTCTCACGATGCAAGAGAATTCAGGTGTATGGTACGCGTCGCTTCCATCTTCTGCCAAAGGAGAGTCTTCAACTTCGATTTTCTCGTCAACTTCGTCCAAATGAGGGAATGGCATGTTAAACACCTTGTTTATGGCGGAGTGTTCGTATGGTTTCTGTGTTCCCATTGTTTGGGCCACGGAATCTATGATTTGCTGTACAAGTTCGTTTAATTCAGGGTTGTATTCGTGTTCGGTGAGTTCTGTCTTGATTCCTGCTGCTGTCTGATTGCGTTGGATTGCGGATTGTGCTTCAACTTGCTTTACAGAGAGCATTTGGTATAATTGCTTGGAATTTGACTTCGAAACCTTCTTCATTATATTGTAGACGTCATCAAATGGGAAAGGCATGATACGAATTGTCTGGCAATTCTTCAATATGTCGAGGACTCTGACAATATTGACGGCATCTGTAGTTCCTGAGCCATCTATGTAGAGTTTCTGTAATGTATTTGAGTTTTCGATGATATCTCCGATGGCGTCGAGACCTTCTTCGCCGAAATTATTAAATGAAGGGTCGAAGTACTCCAATTTGGTTCGGGATGCCAATTTGATGTATGGTGCCATCATGGGACCAAGTTTGTTGCTGCCACCTTTGATGGAAAGATACTTCAGATCAGCAAATGTGACTAATTCTCGTAATGCATCGCCAACGTTCTTCATTTTAGGGGTGAGGTTGTCGTTGAACGAGATGCCGTAGATTCCTCTGCATTGGTCAAGGACTTTGACCAGTTTCAGGCAGTCATCTGCGTCCATGTTCGTAGAATTGAAGGAAAGAGTGCCCCAAGAGTAATTTGAAGCGGCTTTGAGGGCTTCAAGTACAGGGTCGAGCTTCTTTCCGCCAAGTTTTGTATTCGAAAGGTTGAGATTGAACTGGCTGATGCTTCTTGAAGTAATTCCTTTGATTATTTGGGCGATTTGCTCAGGCTTGAGCCCGCAATCGCTGACATCGAGTGATTGTAAGAATTCTGCGTTGGCTAAGAAAGTTAAAACCTCTCCAAATTCGGATTTTCCGATTTTAGAGCCTCTTAAGGAAAGATGCAAGAGCTGTGGTTGGCTCTTATGAAGGATCTGAAGAATATCGCACAATCCGCTCTTGACATTGCCTGGATTGAAAGATTTCATAAAATTCTTTCGGTTTTTCTTCAAAGCATTGAGAGTTTGGACGATTGCCTTGGCTCCTGATGATCTAACTGATGCCCCACCGAGGTTTAAGTACCTGATTCCCCATAAATGAGAGTTCTTCTCGATTGATGTCATCAAAGCAACGACAGCCTTATCGTTCATGCCTGTATTTGAGAAATCGAGGTAGAATACGTCGGATTTGAGATGGGAAACCGCTGTACAAATTGGAATCATATCAGAAATTGGATTATCAGAGATATCGAGGTATCTTAATGGTAATTTTCTGTTGTCTACAAATGCCTGAGCGATTGCATCGCATCCATCAACGATATTGTTTGCTTCGGCGACGAATATTTGGCAAGTTGTTGATTCTGACAACAAAGGAGCCGCGGCGAGGAACAAATCTGTTCTTCCGACATTCCTCATGACGATTCCGTGTAGTGTTGGGAAGAACGTCAATGCGTCGAAGACAGGACCGATATTTACGGTACTTGCAAAGGAATTTTCAATATCATGGTAAGGGATTTTGCTTAAGTCGAAGACACCGGACATTGTGATAGCAGTATAATTAACCCATTGTACGATGTGATGGTTATATTTGATCTTATCTTGCATACAATAGGCGTTGTAAAGGAATTGGAACTGCTGGCCTGGAGAGAGACGTGGGTCAAACTTAGGGAAGTCATCCGGATCCTTTGGCCTGAATTTCAACTTGTATTCTTTAGGAAGATAAGAAGTTATGATGTAGTAGTTTCGGAAAAGACAAACAACAAACCTCTTCATGGCCTTTTCATTTCCTTGTATGGATAATTCTCTGTCCTCCATTTTTAGAGCAACAAAATCTTTTCCAGGAACTCCGAAGTAAGTTAAGTCAAGTATATGGACATCTTCGAGATGCGAAATTCCTCCCATAAAAGACTTCTTGCAGAAAGTGATGTAATGCTCACTCAATGCGACAACTCCGTCTTTTATATCTTTTCCGTCTATTTGGAGTTTGCACCTGAAGGCAAGAAATACCTGGCGTTCCCAGGAAGGAACAAGTCTCTCAACTTTCTCCTTGTCCTTCGCGTCTAAATGGTAGTCATTGTCGCTCATCGGATTGAAGCGAAATTTTTGACACCTTTTGAATGCTTTGCTTTCAATATAATCATCACGGAAACGCTCTATTTATTCTAGGTATGGAATATTTTATCAAATGGCTCAACAGAATAATTTTGTGTTTGACGATATAGAATTGAATGTGATGTAACGGCAAACCCAAATTTTAGCTAAAAGTGACAGGAAAAAAAACGTTTAGTATTAAAAAAAAAGACCGATGAGAGCTTCGTTCGAAATATAGAGGGAACTGAGAATGCGCAACCATTCTCAGGGAATATTGGATGCTATTCCCGTTCCCTCTGTATGGAAAATTGAGGTTTTCAAAGGGAGTTAAAATAATATCAAATTTATACTAATTTACTTCAAAATACAAAAGTATTTGACAGCTAAAATTAGTTACTTTAGCAAGCCTATCAATACCCTTTTACGATTATTGTTACTTTTTCGAAATAAAAGTAAAAACAAATTTATACTAATTTACTTCAAAATACAAAAGTATTTGACAGCTAAAATTAGTTACTTTAGCAAGCCTATCAATACCCTTTTACGATTATTGCTACTTTTTGAAATAAAAGTAAAAAAAATTTATACTAATTTACTTCAAAATACAAAAGTATTTGACAGCTAAAATTAGTTACTTTAGCAAGCCTATCAATACCCTTTACGATTATTGCTACTTTTTCGAAATAAAATAAATTTATTATCAAAAACCTTTTTTTTCTTAGTAAAAATAAAAATGTTATTTTATATCAAGTTTTTATTCATAAATTTTTATAATGTTGTATAAATTTCATTAAAATTTACGTACATATTAAGGTACTTATCTTCTACATATATAATCTTCATTAGATATATACATGATAAATAAAATTCATAAAACATTAAAAATCAAAAAATTAGATGAACCTTGGCAATTAAACTTTATTAAATAATAGTTGTTTATAAATTATATTATATTATTATTTAATATTATTTTGATAATGAAGATTTTATTTTGCAATAATATAAACGAAATTTTTTACCTTATGAACTTTTGATGGAAATATGCAAATTTAAAATAATAAAGAAAGCCGCGAGCGAAGCGATCGGCTTAGTTCGAAGATTTTGATTCAAATCTTTGCTGATCTGTAATTCGCGGAAGCCGCGAGCGAATCGAGCGGCTTAGGTCTAAGATTTTGATTCAAATCTTTGCTTATATTCCTTAAATTCTTTATGAAACTCGCAACAGTTCCATAAAAAATTTTAAATTCTAAACTGTCGAAATTACCGATCGGTAATCACACCCTTCACGGGTGTGTCATTTTTACAGGTGTGTCACTTTTAGCTAAAATTACCCCTACTCGTGATGTAACAGTTTTTGAGAGTGGCCGAATCGAGATTTTGATTTGTAATTCTTACACTAAGGGTTTCGTTTTGCTAAAATTGTCACTTTTATAGCATATTTGTTTTTGGATGTTTTGCAAAACCAAAAAAAACTATGATATACAATGTGTGTGTAAAGAAAATACTTTATTTACTAGTTAAAAAATCATTTGGTATTGATCAAGTTATTTTTTCTGGATAAGATATTATATGGATAATTGGATAGAAAATACAATTATATAATCTTGTACCTGGTTTAATTAAGCTAATTGTCATCAGAAACTTGTAATTTTTATGAATTTCAGATTTTCTTTTCATTACTGCTTTTCTTAATAGGTCAAGTTCTTATTTATGTTATAAAGTATGATATTTACAAATATCAAGTTATCATGTTTTTTGAGAAATTATGAGAAACAAACAAAAATGAAAAAGATAAGAATAGCAATGAATAGTGATGTGGGTATAGAAAATGTAAGAGATATGAATGCAAAGCAATCAGTATTTAGGATATTGACCATAGATTTCGAAAAAAAATGCTGCATATTGAGCGAAAACTATGATTATATTATAAGGCTGTCATTTAAAGCATAATGAAACTATTCCCTTTTCATTTTAATCGAATAAGATAGTAAAGATTTTTGAATTAGCTAGAAACTGATGAGATGTTTTCACAAATCAGATTTTTAATCTCTATAATGCATAATTCACTCAATATCTCAATTTTGATATTGCGAGATATTTTTGCTATCGGTTTCGCAATTTTGACACAATAGCAAGAGGGTTCTATAAGCATTATTATCAACGTAGAATCTGAATATCATATCAGAAAATGTCGCAAATCTGACATTTACCCGACCAAATAGCAAAAATAATTGAATACTTTTCGCAAAAACTTTTAAAATCGATAAAAATATGAAATATAGATATTAAAGAGACTTTTTATATAATATTCATAAAGATTTTCCAAAAATATGATACCGCAAAATTAAAAAAGTGACGTCTTGAGTGGAGTCAAAGGTCGAAATTGCTAGCTAAATGTTTTTTTAGCGAAATTGCGTATTGTACGTTTTTTTCGCAAAACGAAACCCTTACTTACACATGAATTGAATTTGAATTCGATCAAAGAAAATCAAAATCTTGATGGTTGGTTTGGGAGATCAATAAACTTTTAAATGATATTGACTTCGCAATGGGATTTAATATAACAGAAATTTGATGGTGAATGAGATTTATATTTTTTAATTTTCAATGAAATCTTGAGCCATCATGTTACAGATTACCGAGTAAAGATGGACAGCACATTACATATCTATTTTGAAAGTGCTTTTCTCAGAATGTCATACAATGACAAAAGATCAGTCGTACCGTATGCAAAATTTTCCAATTTAATGAAGGTATTGCTCCAACATGTAAAATATCCAAAATCCTTTGTAGTTCTATGAACTAATTACTTTATTTTTGTCAAGGTTTCATTTTTATTGGAACTTTAATCAAAACTATAGCTTTTGCTTTTTAAATTACTATGTAATGATAATATGTATTGAATTGGAAGCAAAAATCTTGTAGAAATACTTAGTTTTTATTATATTTTATTGAATATTTGCTTATCAAGGGTTTTGAACAAAATATAAGCACATGTGGATTTGCATTGAAAAAAGAAATAATTTACACAAGCTTTATATGATATTTACATGACATCTGTCGATTGTTTTCAAATTTTAATGGAAACACTTATAATAAACATAATTTTACTTCATATTTCTGATAAATATCATTCAATGTATAATTGAGGAATAAAAGATTTATTCCTTCAACTCTAAAACTATTTGAGGAGTGCTTTGAAAAAGTAGAATAAATGAACGCAAATAATTCCTGTGAGTATCCATTCCATTATGTTGCAAAACATCGAAAAGTATAGATTATTAAATTTTTCATCTAAGTGCTTCAAAATCAAGTACGCAAGTGTCAAATAAGAAACCATTGCTAAATCGTTGTACAAATTGTGGTGCTCCTTGATGATATATTCATACAAAATATCATCATCTTCATCAATGAAATTACTGTTTGGGTTAGTTTTGCCACCATGTGATTTTAAGAGAGATTCCATTTCGGATTCCTCATGAAAAGAATCAATTAATCCTCGGTTATTTTCTAGAATAGAATTCATTTGAAATTCATTATTTTTCATAAAGGCTTCATTTTCTCTCTTATAACGCATAATTGCAATATCAAGAGGAGTCTGTCGTTTTTTATTTAAACAATTGATTTCTGCACCATGAGAAATTAATACTTCGGCGTTTTCTTTATTATATAATAATGCTGCAATATGAAGAGGTGTATTACCATGTGAATTTTTTTCATTGACATTTGCACCTTTTGAAATCAGAAATTCAATCATATCTTTGTTACTTTCAGAATTTTGACCATATAATTTGAAAATTTCACCTGAATCAGTAATAATTTTTTCCTTGATTTTTTCAGAATTATACATTAATGCAAAATTAATAGCATTATTTCCATCAATGTCTGTAAAGCTGATACTTGCATTATGTGAAATAAGAAGTTGAGCAATTTCTTTATAATTTAATAGTGATGCAAGACTTAGAGGGGTGATATGATACATATTCCTATTGTCATTTATTTTTGCACCTCGCGAAATCAGAATTTCCACAACTCTTTTATTTTCATTTAGGACTGCAATATGAAGGTTTGTTAAATCGGTAATTTTTCTTTTGGATTCAATAAGTGCCCATCGTGAATTAAGTAACTCCACCAATTCTGTGTTATTTGAAATTACAGCGACATTAAATACAGATCCATATCGATTGTTAATTTTTTCAATATCAATTCCTTGGGTAATCAGATATTTTGCAATTTCATTCTGTCTTTCATGAGCTGCAACATAAAGTGCTGTGTAATTATCTGTACTAGAATACACATGATTAATATTTGCACCTTTCGAATGAAGATATTCACAAAGATATTGGATATGAAAACCAGGAGAAAATACAAAACATGCATTGATATCATTAGTTTCTTTTAAATATAATAAAAATGCTTGAAGATTTTTGTAAATACCACACATATATATATAGTAATTGCTATGCCATATTCATTCATCAATTTCATAACATTTTCCATATTATGAGATGTAATTGCATTTTCCATTGTTACAGAATCAGGTTTTTGTTCTCTCAAACACATTTCAATGATATATTGATTATTTCCTAGAAATGCAGCATCAAGGCATTCTTTAGTGATTTTAGCTTTAAATTCATCAATTAATAACCTGAAACATTTAACTGACGCATGTTTGCAACAATTCATGAGCATTTCATTTAGATTTAAATTTTTTTGTTTCATTACATCTGCTAACATTTTTTCATCATCTTTTATTATTAAATCAATAAGGGATTTAGTAATATCAATATCTACTTTTGTAAGATGTATGATATCATAAGCTTCATTACAATGATATTCATCATATAATCTCTTCATTATCTCTAGATATGAATGTCGATATTTTAATCTAATCATACCAACTGGTTCTATCCATCGAATCATATCTTGTGGTGTAAAGTATCCAGGATCTATCAAATTATCTTTGATTTCTTTATACAATTCTGCTGTTGAGTTTATTTCATCCGAATCTATTTTGTAGATTGAATCCCACGTATCAATGTATTTCTTGTACTTATTCATGAGTGACGTATAATGCTTTAATGCTTTGTTAACTTCCACTAGTTGAATAATAAATAGAATTAGCATTAGTCAGCGAATCAGTGTCAAAAATATAAAATTTTCATTTTGTAAAGCTATCAATTTCCACTTAGAATAAGAAAACTAGAATTGTCTGTTGTTGAATTTCTAACCATTCAATTGAACCGGATCATGGAGTAAAATGATATCAAATTCATTCCCTCAAATACAATAATTACAAATGAAAAACGTCAGATAAAAAATAAATCAGAAAGACATAATTTGAGCATTTATTACATATATTGTTGCATGAAGCAACTTTCAATATTGAAGATTTCTATGAGTAAGATGGTGAGTCATAATTAAACTCATCTGATGCGTGTAAAGTTAATTCACCTAATGACTGATTGTTTTTAATGATATTGACACAAGTTATGCATGAATCAGAAGCAATTGAATCTATTAAATAACTTTAATCTTGATTGACTCTATTTTGCGTAATATTGCAATGACCATAAAACTATTTAGTATTTGCAGATGATAAGTAGGTAAAATCTACATTATTGAATCTGATATTAGATGAAATTGCTAAATATTCACCAAAGTTAACTTCATACTCTAGTAATACAAAGCATTTAAGCTTAGAGGTGTTCAAAAAATTATTCAAAATTCTTGTAATACTTGCTTTTGATAAATCAGCTGATTTGAGAAAATCGTTATTCTGGGGAGCATCATCAATTTCTGGAATCTTTTCAACAACTTTTATAAATAGCAATTGTGTATTTTCGAAAGGTTTACTTTGGAATTTGTTGATTTGAATAGAAGTGTCAGATTTCGGAAACGTAAATTTTGAAGACAAATAGCTAAAATTTATTTGAATTCATCCTAATTATAAAATTGCTATTTCTTTTATCGAATAAAATATTTAAAATTTTTGACATTTTTTAAAATCTAGCTTTTGATTAAGCTGGAGTTCCTAAAGATATCTGGGAAGAATACTATGGACCACCAGGAGAAAACTATTCCAACATCGAATCAAACAAGAAACCTACTATTTCTCAAAATTTCTTTTTACTTTCTTCAAACTTCTTTAATTTTACATCGAATGTCATTTCTTGCAGTATCGATTCTATTAAATTCCTTCATTCGATATGCACATATACAAATATTACACGAAGTTCAGGGTACGGTGGTTGCATCTACTTCTATGGCAACAGTTCTATTGTCCAAGACCGATTTTGTTCTATTAAATGCTACACACCAAACAATGGAAAGCATTCATATACAGAAGTTCAAACAGCAACAAACAAAAATTTTGTCAACTTAAGTTCTCTCTTTCAATGCGGTCATGACTACACTGGATATTCCAGTATATATCATTGGTATGGAGATAAAACTCTTATTTCTACAAACAACACTTATACGAGATGTCAAGGATGGGCTGGTTATCGATTAGAAAATAATCCATCTAATGTTAACTTTTGTTGTTTCATTTCTAATGATAACCAACAAATGAATGCCATTTGCATGCTTCATTGGCAAACACCTGATTCATTTGTTAAAAATTCAATCTTCAAAAACAACACAGCAAAAATTTCAAAAGGAGGTTATGGTCTTATTACATCATCATCTTCACCATCAAATGTTACAGTTTCAGAATGTATTTTCATAGGAAACAAAGCAGACCATACTTTTAGTTGTGAAAGTAATGGTATTATTACAGTTATACACTGCAGAGGAGATGATTTGTCTGCAAGTAAAATTTATGGAGGTTCATTTAATACAGATAAAATCGAAACAGATCCTTTTGATCTTCCACTTTCACTTCTTTCATTAGGTAAATGCGAAGCAGAAAATCCAATTTCAATCGAACTTATTTTAAATGAAATTGAAAAGAAAAATAGTCATATTTTTGATGAATTTTGTTCTTTAAATTTAACTCTTGAATGCTTTCTTAATTTAAAAAGATCATAATTCAATCCAATTTTAACAAAATAGTAAAAGTACAGAAGATTAAAAACGTAATTCTAAGATTTTAGTTAACATATGAGATCCTTGATCTAATTGTTATAAAGTTCATAATATCGTAATCTTCAATTTTATACCAATATTCTACTGCATTATTTTGATATATAATTCACGTACTGAATCATCCTGTGTCGATATCTAAATGAATTCTGTTGATAATTCGTGGGGCTAATATAACTCAAGATTGTATTAATGAGGTTTTCCATAGGGTGCAAAAATGCGCAAAAACGATTATTTAAAATTGAATTTGTACATATTTTGTGTATTTGAAAAATTTGGGAGTTTACCATTATTAAAAATCAAATCCATTATTAAAGAATAGCAACAGTTACATATGCAAAAAATATAAAAGAAAAAATACATTCATTTTTGACTACTTTACGCGGATAGTTTCAAGCCAGAGTTTCAGACCAAAATTTTGGTTGGAAGGAAGTTACTGTACCTTTAAAATAGTGCAAAAATTGAATGAGTGATATTTAAAAACATTAAATTTCGTTTAAATGATAACAAACAAAATAATAAAATAATAAAATAAATAAAATATAATATCAAATAAATTATAATGGCATGCAATATAATTTGCCTGATTGTGATAAAACACAAATAACACCTTGGTCATATGAAATTGAAACAGGAATAGACAATGGACATCGGCATGAAGCTTTGTCTAATGTCACATCAGTCAATCGGTTGATGTATACATTCCCTGTTGGATCGGCTAATGCGACATATTCGATGTAGTTCTTATCGATGAAATTAGTCCAACATGAAATCCGGAAGTTGATTTTGACATCACTAACTAAGAAACCATTCAATGTATAGACTGAAACTGAGTTTGATGAGTAAACTAAGATTGTACCTGTTTCTTCTGTAATCATAACTTTGTGTGGAATCTTTTCGTCCATAACAATGTCGTAGTGGAACTGACCGTCATATCGGTAAACAACTAAATGACTTGATGTTGTGCAAAGACAGATTAATCGGTATTTATCACTACTGCATAAACAGACAATTCGGTCGGTCAAACTAGTACGAATACAAAAATCTTTCTTCAGTGATTTGATACTAGCATCAACACAAACAAATGTTAAATTCTTTGAGTTTTGATCAAATAAAACTGGGTGATAATTAGAAATGTTTTGTTGTTCATTCCCATTAGATGAATAAACTTTGATACTCTTAGAACTATGAATAACAACAAAACCATTGACAAATGTAAATTTTTGACAGTGTTGATCAATGTTTTTCAAAAATATCGTTTTGTTGTTTTTATGATTTTCAATGTCAAAAATTAAGGTTTCAATAAGTCGGTTGTTGTAAAGGACTGAATATGTAATCAATGGATATTCAAAGTTTGTGACACTGCATTCTTCGATCAATGGTTTGTTTTCGAAATGTGAGGTGACCATCTTAGTCAAAAATGGTTTCTCGTAAATAATTTTCTTTTGTGGATGTGGTGTCTTAAAAAGTGTAGAAGGAAGGTGACCGGACTTGTTTAATGTGACTTCGATAACATCTTCATCCATATCTTGCGTTTCTTCTGTGTTCCAAACTTCTTCTGTCAAGATATCATTGAATGAATTCAATCGTTGTTTACGAACTTTGTTGTCTTTTTGTGCATAACCAAAGATCATGTCAATCCAAAGATTTAAGTGTTCTGTAACATAATTAGACTCTAAAACTTTTCGTTGGTATGAAATGAACTTGAATGGTTTGTTGCACCATAATGGACATTCAACATCTTTGATTCCTTTATTGTTGACATCCAAAAGGAATTCCGGACAATCAAAGAATTCTGGAACAATTTCCCAACTAAAGCCACTTTCTAAAAATTGAACAGTTGTAGACATCATACTAGTAAACAATCGACTTTCAACATCGAAATGACCACCTTCATTGTCAAGATGAAGTGTTGTAAATGGTTCCAACCGCAAAAGCCAATGTGCAACAATTGTTGGATTAGAAGGAGCGGAGAAATAAAGAAAACTGTTGTCTTCCAATTTCTGACTCAAGTTCTTTCGTTGCGCCAATGTTTGTGCCGAGATAGGCCACTGTAAATCTCGCATTTGTTCAGTTGTCAATGGTTCTGAAATGAAATCTAAAACAACCCATGGAAAGATGGGATACAAAGCAGGATGTCGAAATGATCTGCCACCAAAAATATTCAATGATAACAAATATTCGAAATTAGAAATTTCATCTTTCAACCATTTTTCGGTGATTCCTAATTTGTGGAAGAATGTCTGGAAATTAGAAACTTGGACAATAGCTGAATTCGGACACAGTTGTTGAAATTTCTTGACAATGTCTTGGATAGATTTTATTGGAGCGAAATCAAGGAAAATTGTCTTACCGGAATGGAAATACAACTCAATAGCTGTGTATCTGTGGAATGGAGCACGTTGTAATACATATTTCAATTCAGTGTATTTGTAAACATTAGAAAATCCTTCTTTTCGGATAGTAAAGTTATCGTTTGTCATACAAAATTGGGCATCAATTTGTTTGTCAATTTTGACAACTTTACATGGTTTGTTTTGTGTTGGTTCGTAGTATTTGAATGAAATCTCTTTAGGAATTTTCCGTTTGATAAATGGTTCTTCAAGATCACCACAAACTCGGAATGATTTACTGTAAATGTACTCTGGAGTCTTCTTAGACCATGAACTACTACTGTTGAATAAAAATTTCATAATCTTGTTCCACTGTTTGTGAACTTGTAATGTGTTGAAATTGGACAATTCAACTTGTGCGTCAATATCGCCACTCGCGATACTTGCAACTGTTGTATCAAATAACAATGTGTATGAATTAGCTCGTTTTTCTGTTGCAAGCCAGTGACTTCTCGTACGGTGCTGTAATAATTTCAAATCATCATTATTTGTGTGTTGATTGATATAATGAATTGATGAGTCAATTAAAAGTGTTTGAAGAGTGACATCGATTTTCTCTCTTTGACAGACTTTTTGAAGATAAATTCCGATTGGCAATTCGACATTAGAAACTTCTTTCATGTTTGTAAAGATTTGGCAACATGTTTGTAACAATGCTTCATGGCCTCGGTAGCCAAACTGTGGAATGATCTCAAATTCTGAAGAATATGATTTCAAATACTCTGAAATTTTTGACATGAAATCAATCTCAATTTTTGGTAAATTAGACAATGAAACTGTATTGAATGAGCCAACACTTAATCTTGTTGTAGATGCCAATGGAGAGCTTGCTGTATTAGTAATGTCGGACAAGTCAAATAAATTGGCTGACATTGTGATTTTATCTTTTTTGTCCCTTGTCAGTTTCAATGGAATTTCTTTTTCATTAAATGGTGAATTCTCGTAAAGTTCTTGTAAACTTGGTGACATAAGTTTATGATCACGATGAAGTAAAAGAATTTTTGAGCATAATGTAAATAAGCGTGGATCATTTGATGGTGAATATTTGATATCGATGATAATTTTAACTAAATCTCCAATGAAAACAAGGTAATTTTCATCGCGTGTTGCACTAAGAAGTTCTAAATATGCAATACATTCTTCAAAGAATGTGAAACTGTCACAATCTAAAATAAGATTACTTGTGAAACTAACTAAATCAACAAAACTCTTGCTCTCAAGATAATTAGATAAAATAGCAGGCCAAATGATCCAACTTGGATTAATTAGTTTTGGACAAATGCGAAGAGGTTGAAGACTTGAAGCTGTAATCTCACAATACTTTCGGTCGAATTGTGATTTTTCTAATTCAATAGAACAAATGATCAACAATGGGAAGATTAATGGAAAATCTTTGACAATTTGGATTAATCCATCAAATAATTCCGATGTACAGTAGATTGGTTTAATAACGGAGCATATCGATTCAACATAATGTGCGAAATGATCACCTGTTAATGAACTGATGGCTTTTAATGTAGCAATGAATATCTTTTCCTTACGAGGTTTAAGAAGGTAAAAACAGAGACGAGGGATCATAGTATATTCTGTTTTACCGTTATTCTGAAGAATAGAAAGTAAACTGACAACTTGTTCTGTATCTTGACATGAACCACAATGTGAAATGATGGCGGCCATGTCCATTTCAGTCATTTTGTGTGATTTAAGGAGACGGAGCATAGAATTGTAACATGTGGTAACATCAAAGTCGTTTCGACGTTCAAAAATAATTTCTTTCTCAACGGGATCATGATAGAAGTAAACGCGCATATATGAAAGGACTGTTCTGAATGGAATGATATCAAATAAGTTGAATTCAAGCAGAGATGGCCAATTGTTAACAATTCGTGTGAATTCTTTAGATAAACTACGACACCAAAGATCAGCACTAAGAACAATATTATTGATCAATGATTTGATTTGATCTTTATCTGTAATAGATTCTAAAAATGAATCAAAGCGACACCATAAATTATATGTAAGACAATCAACGTTGTTTTCGACTTTTAATAAGTATGAGATAACAGAAAAGTCGAAATGAGTGCCAATCTTGCAAAGTTCTTTCATCATGTCAATTAATAAGTCTAAAAAATGTGGTGGTGTTTTGTCCAGATAAGCAAAGAAAGGAATAAATGATTCAAAGTTAGATGCCAAACCTTCTGTCAATGTAAATCGTGAAACTCCTTCTGTTGGATATGTAAATAATGCTTTTGTATCAAATTTCTTTTGTTTTACAAGGTTTTGCATCTTGTATTTCTCATCCCTGAGGTTGTAAGCGGCTGGATACAATGATAAGTCTGAAATCATAGTTGAATATGACAAAGCATCTTCTTTTTCGCAATTTCCATCAAAAACTGCTCCCAAACGGACTTCTAACTGATTATCAGAGAATCTTGGCATTTGTACAGTCAATGTTTGCGAAAGAACAGAGTTTACTGAGTATTCAAATTGTAATAAATTTTCTTGGATTCTTTTTATGGAAATTACAACAGGCAACCACTTACAGGAATCAAGGCTTGGAGCAATAACAGCAGAACTGACACCGTTAACCGTTAAAATCTTCGCAATTAACGTGTTTCCTGTGATTAAAAATTTTATTGCACAGTTATTCTCATCCAAAATGGAAATTAGCATCGGATGTGCATTTATTAATTGTGCATAAACAGTGTCGATCCATAAATTGAAGGCTAACGTCATTCCTTCGTTCAAAACATTTCCGAAAATTCCATTTATATACGTTTCATGGTTTTCTACGCCACAATAAACGAAATTACGTGGTGTTTGGGATATTTCGGATAGGGTTTTGTTCGCAATTTGCATTGCAGGAATGGCATATTTCGGATATTCTTCTCCAGGTACGAAAAGTGTCATAAATTTTGCTGCAGCGTATGGGGATGATCGCATTGACGATAGGAATGCGATTATTGGCAGAATTAATTGTTCGATATCTGATTCTTCGTATTTGAGTCTAAAATGTAACCCTCCGAAATCAAATTCGTTCGGATAATTGTTTATACTCTCAATTAATATCAAATCAAGTTCGCTATGTTGTATTAAATAAGTATTTCGAATTGAATGTTTCGAAAGCGTATCCAAATACAACAAAGCCTTCCTTGTTCCTTCTATTGAGCAGAACAATGATGTAAATAAAGGTATAAGTTCGTGATTTTGCAGCAAAAACATGCCTGACATGTTAATCGAGCGACTTCTACCGGCCATGCCTAGGACACATGAAATTATTGACTCCTTTGGCTCCGAATACTCCAAAGATTGAATGGCTTCGGAGATTCTTTGAGTCTGAATGTTAGATAAGTGGTAATCTTCAATGTATATGTGAGTATGGAGTACCAATTCGAGACACTCTTTAATAATATCGGGTGTAGGATTAAGAGTTATGTAAACTGTCACTTGATCAATAATATTTCGAAAAACTTCAACGAGAGAGTTATTAATATTCAATGCATTGTTGATTGTTTTTAAGAGATCAATGATATTCTGCACGAATTTCGGAGATTTGGCAAAATCAAATATTGCTCCAATAAATTTAACGGCAGGAGTTAAATTATCAGCTAATTCAGGAGTGCATCCACTCAATACCTTTGAAAAGTACTCCAAAACAAGGTTTTTCAGAGAGTTATCCAGAATTCTCGACAAAAAACTAATTGCGAAACCTCCTGAAGAGAAACATCTGTAAGCAGTGTCTTTGTCTTCAATGATAGTGAATATAAATGTGTATATTACTGACCTTGCGTCTTGAATTTGAGTTTGGTATTTTTCATATTTTGAATCATGAAGGATAGAAAGAAGTATATTGAGAGAATGAACAATTTCATCAAGCATTTGTTCATTTATGAACGAATACGATCTTGATAAATGCAATTTAAACAATAATCTTCCCAAAATTTCAGCAAAAATGAAAGGAGCGTCTTGAACGTTATGTAATAATGATTGTAGACTCTCAATATTATATGTCATAAAGTCCGTAAGTATTGAATCTCTAATAATTCCAATTAATCCCAAATCATGTTTGAAAAACAAGGTTTCCGAAGTGAAAACAGGGAAAGAATTTATCGCTTCCATTATCTTCTTGGTGTATTTCGTCTTGTTCGGGTGATGCAACAAAGCTAAAAAGTCAATATACAAGTCATACCTATTTTTTGTTAAAATCAATACATCTGCGAACGATTCGAAGAATTTCGTGGCATATATCTCCGGAATTTCACATAAAACAGGAGCTAAAGCAACAACATTTAATTTATGATTTGGCAAAACAAAATCTTTGACGTTTCCCGTCACTTCGAAGTCAGATAGGGATTCTCTTTGTATATACGAGACTATATCCTCTTGAAATGTGTAGTCGTACTCGTAGTTGTAGCTTGTAAATTCGTGAAATGTTGGTTGGGTGAATTCAATTGTAAAATTCGGGTCGGGATCTAGTGGAAAGAATATATGTGTTGGGAGTTCAGCGAATGCGTCAAATAATTCTGGCTGAGAAGTAACTTTTGTTAATGTACTTAATAATCCTATTGAATGAAGGTTTAAATCGAAAACCAATGGATAAAGTATCTGTATTAGTCTCGAAAAATCTGTTGACGAAAAAGATTCTGGTGATTTTTCGACAGATAATGTGATTGTAGAGATAATTTGAGTGTATTTCGTACTGTCATTCACTTGGATCGCTTTATCAAGTATATCTACAATAGTATATATGTTTTCTTTTGTGCATTTAGAATAGTATTTGTTAATAATTTCGATTGGAACTTGATTTTCTGGGAAAGAATTGTATTTTAGTGTAAGAGAATCAATTAGAAAATCTCTTATATCTTTCGATATGATATTTTCAAGTTTATCAAGCAGATTTAGAAAATCAAAGTAATATTTGGTTTTTTCATTGTTATTTGGTTTTAACCACGCAATGATGAAGTAGTATATCAAATCTACAGCTGCTTTTGAAGTGAAAGACTTATCATTTAGCTGAGTTTTTAGAAGAAGAAAACTTGCCTCATCAAATTGTATGTTTGTTTGCAAAGAGGAAAAGACAAGATTGTTATTTACATCAGATACAAGTCCATCGTATGCCTGTTGAATAATTTGGCGATCAATTTGTGGAATCGTAAATAATCTCGCTAAATCTTGCCATTCTTGCGGATCACTTTCATATGGCATCTTGGAGTTATTGACCTCCCTCAATACTTCAATCATAGGATGTGAAATAGTCCTTGTGAAGGACAGTTGAGGAAAGTCTTTCATGAAAACTCTAGAATCAAAGGGCGGTTCAAATGATTAGTTTTATAAAATTACGCATTTTGCATTATTAATGCATTTCCTTTATATTTGGCTAATTTTTATAACCTTATTATTCATCCCATTATTTACGGTTATGTGAGCTCAAATTCCAAAAAAAGGATAATGTTAATTTACAGCGTCATCTCTTGGATTTGACACATCTCAGTGAGGGTAGTACCATAAAAGTACCAATACATATCCCCATTGAATTATTAAAGTTTGGAAACACAAATTTTAGTCTGAGCGATCCAAATTTTTGGGTAATAATGATAACTATAATGGAACCAGCAAATTATCTCTAATGAAGACCAAATTATTGTAAGCTAATCACTAATTTCTGTATTCTAATGAAAAAATTAACAATGGGCATACATTCAAAGCAATATCTATTGTAAAAATGTAAATTAACTTTAAAATATTTTAAAATTGCTGCTATGAGCTTGTCTTTACTATTAATATTTTTTTATGATTAAATATATAACAAAAAATTCACATGTGCGATTAGCCAAAACAATCACTTGGTCAATACATTTAGTATTGTAACAGTAAAGACGAAAATAAATTAGGAAAATAAGATTGAACGAAAATTTGATCGGACTTTTCAATCATTATCGGTATCAAATGAATGAGTTTCATTTGTTAAGCTAAAATTATCAATACTGAATGTTTGTGGTATTATAAATTTGTGAAATCGGGCGAAATGTTGTTTAAATCAAATAAATGAGGATATATAAGTATTAAAAACCATTCTATTAGCTTAACCAAATACTGTAATGCGATCAACTCCAAAACAATGAATTTCAAATAAAATTCCTGACAAATCTGCAGAAATGGATATAAAGTACCTAAGGCGGTAATGTTCCAATATACGATCAATTCTTTTTTAATGTGTGCTAATAAAACCTCAAAAGGCATAATTGACAATCAAAAAGATGTGAAAAATTTATTTATAACAGCTTTCCTTGATTTTGATGGGTTTTTCTTTATTTAAGCTGGTAGTGCATCTGGATCCATCAATTATTCATGTCAACAAAATTGAATGTACAACTTTTATCGTTCGATTACAAATCTTTATTGAATGAATATGAACCAAGACTGGGACCTTATAGTTGACGAGCCTGCAGAAGAGAGTATATACTCTCAGCTACTTCCATCCTCACTCAAGGAAGTCTGGGATGATAACGACTTAATCCGTCCAGATGTCCCAAAGAGTCCAAATCCTATGTTCGATGGTGGATTTCCCGAGCTCGGCAGCCCAACAAAGCATTCACGTCCATTTCCTTTTGCAGAATCAGCTCCAGCTTTGTCTTTTATGGAAGATACTGAAGGCGCTGTTCCAACTCTTGAACCAGAAATCAACACATCCATAATACCATCAGCAAAGTCTAAATACCATTATTACAATGTTCAGTTTCATCCAAATCGCATTGAATTATACAAATGGACTCAGGAAGAACCCCTCGAATTAAATAGCTACGTAGTAACAGAAGCAGACCGCGGATTTGATATTGGCCAGATCGTAGAAGAGCTAAAGCATCCACAGACAAAAGATGCTAAAGCATGCAAGTCTATTGTCCGCCCAGCTTCTCATCATGAAATTTCACAGCTACCATTAAAAGCAGAGCGTGAGCGCAGAGCTCAGGAGCTTTGTCAGGCAAAAGCCAGAGAATTGGGACTTCCGATGTCTATCACCGGAGCTTCATTCCAGTTCGACAGTAAGAAACTTACATTTTACTTTACATCAACAGAATATGTTGATTTTAGAAGCCTTGTGCGTGTTTTGTTCAAGACATTTGGAATGCGTATTTGGATGGTTTGGCATGATGGAAATGCTCCCATCCGTGATGTTCTCCAGCGTAATGAGCATAAATAAACGATACAGTATAGAGATCTGATTTTATAATTAACCACACTTTTTATTTTTTACATTTTTCATTTGAAGTTTCCCTTAACAATGATAAGTATGCATAATCTATTATTAAAACAATGTAATCTCAAAATAACCTTTGATAATCAATTAACGATTATATTGCAATTATCGATTTCTACATTCATTATTATATTAATTAGAATTTAAAGTTTATATTGCAAAAAGAATAATAGTAAGAAATAGTAAAGGAGAAGGTAAAACAAAGAAAGAAAATTTCTCATTGTCAAAATAAAAAGTGACAAGAGATCAAATCGTTTAATTTTGCCACTTTTGTAAATTATAATCGTAAATAATATAAGCTGAAAATTGAGATTATGTAATGTGATGTCATAAATGATAGCAGGAAGTCTTATTTAGAAACAATTTAAGTGTTTATATATCAAATAAATCAAATAAAAAAACGATGATATAGATATCGAAATGAAAATTTGTAAAAAAATCATGATAAAATATTGCAACTAATTGTCATTGCCCCAATAACCAGATCTTTCAACAACATTGGCAGTTTGTTGCTTCATAGACCTTAGTTTGATGTGTGGGTCAGTGTACTTGTCCTTCATCTCAGAGATGCCAGTCTGGAACTCGCGAGCATCGCCTGGAGCACCAGCAGTAACTGACTCGTTTGTGCAGAAGCCTGTAAGTCCACGTCTTGTTGGTCCAACAGCTGTAATTGCTCTTGTCTTTGGTGGCTGCTGGAATGAGATCTGGGCTGTTGAAACCCATGGATCTGGATTGTAAAGGTTCTGATACTCTGGAGTATTGACGCGTTTAAGACGAGCAACTTCTGTTGGATGAAGATCTTCAGCTGTTTTATCGGAAAGTGGGCGAGTCTTGTTGGCTGTAGGGATCTGTGAGTATGTATAGCCGGATTGCTCAATGGCTGTACGGTTAGGAATAACAGGAGAGCCACGATGAGGAGGATGACGATATGTATCATGAGTTGTAGAGACCTGATCAACGATAGCTGGCTGGTTGATTGTAAGGTGCTGGCGTGTGAATGAATCGGCCTCTTTCTTACCGATGAGGTCGCGATTTGTACGCCAATAACGGTCATGATTGGATTCGTGCTTAACGTATGTTGATCCTGTAGTTGTTGATCCCCATTCTGGACCCTTGCCACCATTTTCGGCTTCGACTGGGTTCTTGCGCTTCAACATCTTGAGAGAATTTGGTGGAACAGCTGTTTGGATATCACGTGTCTTTATTTCAGCGGTTCTCTGAGCTGGTGTCTTTGTAGCAGCACCTGGTTCTGGCTCGTTCCAGTAACCAGAACGTTCCATTGTGCTTAATCCGACAGATCTTGGTTCCATTAAGGTAAAGATTGTTGAATACTTGGAGTGTGTAGCATGACTTGTTGAAAGGAATTGGTCCTTGTCGTCAAGCTTGTTGAGAAGCATTGAAGAAACATGCTGATTAGAAGCAAAACCAGAAGCTTTCGGACCACTGGATGTTTCACCCGATGAAAGTGTAGCATCTGCTGGAATTTCTGTTTCATCAACGGACAAACTACGAGTTCTTAATTGACGTGTACGAGGTGGACGATATTTGGCGACGTATTCAGATGTGTAAAATGGATCAAGCTTTTTATCCTTTGCCACGGGCTCAGTGATGGATCTTGACATAACGCCTGAATTTGATCCAGATCCGCCGCTAACGTTGAGACTGCGAGTTGCATATCCAACAGTTTGTGGACGGCAGTATTTTGATGTGTATTCTGTCGTGTAGAACGACTCAAGCATTGGGTCGCCGCCACGAGATGGAAAGCTAAATGCCATTTAAATACGTTATTAAAAACGTGACAATATTGAATCAAATAACGTGAATAAAAAAAATAGATATCGATTGATTGATATTTAATAAAATTAAATAACTAGCCTCATACTTAATATAAATCGATTGAGTCGCTTTCAAAGAATGTTTGCTCAAATATTCTTGATTATCAAAATGCTAAACATCGATTGAAATCTGATATAACCAATAAGGTTTAAGTCCAAATATTACAATCCACGATGGAATATACACATTAAGATATCTAATTCTGAATTTTCATAAAATTTCATTGAAAGAACTGAGAAAAATAGAGAGGATTTATAGAAATTCAAACATACATTTATATAATATACAAACAACTAGAAAGATTAAACAAAAATATTGAACATTCTAAAAATATTCAATTAAAGTTAAATTGAGCCAACAGCTTGAATGGGAGCAAAGTGAATTCTGGAGCTTCCTCTATGGAATCCTAACTGAGATTTGTTGGCAAGTGAATTTTCTTTGATTCTTGGTTTAATAATAAGTGTTGAAGCCTTCATTTGGCTATTAGAAACAGGGATACTATCTGGCTTGAACTGCTTGAAGTATGGCATCTCAAGCAACTCAGCAATTGTTGCACGTTTGTGAATATTTACCTCTAGACATCTGGAAATTACCTTTCTGAGCATTAAATTATGAATCTCATCTTCAGCATATATACCTGCTTCGATCATTCTTTGAAGGCTGAGTTGATCAGAAGAATAAAATGGAAAAGTTCTTGTTGCCATGAAATACAATGTGACGCCAATAGTCCAAACATCGGCACAAATAGGGTTATCGCTGTCTTGTGAGAAAATTTCTGGAGCCATGAACATTCTTGTCCCTTTAAATACGTGGCAAACTTGTTTGTTCTCAAACACGGTGCTTAAACCAAAGTCAGATATCTTCAAGCGTCCATATTTGTCGACTAAGAAGTTTGAAGGTTTTATGTCTGAGTGAGCAACATTGCAATCATGGCAAGCTTTCACGGCGTGTAAGATGTCGAAGCTGTATTTGTATAGTTCTTCTTCTGTGAATTGTGGTTTCGAGTAGGGGTAATTTTAGCTAAAAGTGACACACCTGTAAAAAGTGACATACCCGTGAAGGGTGTGATTACCGATCGGTAATTTCGACAGTTTAGAATTTAAAATTTTTTATGGAACTGTTGCGAGTTTCATAAAGAATTTAAGGAATATAAGCAAAGATTTGAATCAAAATCTTAGACCTAAGCCGCTCGATTCACTCGCGGCTTCCGCGAATTACAGATCAGCAAAGATTTGAATCAAAATCTTCGAACTAAGCCGATCGCTTCGCTCGCGGCTTTCTTTATTATTTTAAATTTGCATATTTCCATCAAAAGTTCATAAGGTAAAAAATTTCGTTTATAAGTAGTATATGAGTGCGGGTTGTGTGACTTTTTTTGTAAACGTAAGAATTCATACAATATTGAACGATTTTGTAACATTTTTTTTGACATATGAAGTAAAAAATGTATGATTCTTACGGTTTTTATTCTTACGTTTTTGAATAAATCAAGATTTAAAAAATGTTCAAAATTGTAAGACATTTACACTCAGCCCATAAATGATGTAATAAACACATTAAAAAATAAACTTTAAAAAATTAACATTAATTTTAAAATAAACTTCTTACGAAAAATTAAAACTTAGTTATGTTTATTATTTTATTTTTTAATTCGTAAGAAATGAACGGAACAAGATTCGTGACTGTGAATCAATTAATGGATAAACTTTCACCAATTCTCACCCAGGTTAAACAAGTAGACGTTTATTTTGATGATTACATAGAAAGTTTATTTTATAAAGGTAAGTTTAATATTAAACCCATTGCTTTTGCATTTGATGGTAAATTAATCGAAAATTCAAAAATTTGGGAATTAATTCCGGATATTGAATTTATAACAAATATTAATGATAAATGGTTTAAACAACAAAATCACCTCACTAAAGTTCTTTGTAGATTAATGATTAAAACTGAGGAAAAAGAATTTAACAGGTTTAAATATCATCCATGTAAAATTTTAGAACTTGGTAACGAAAAACTTCAGAAAAAATTAAACGCAAGACTATCAAAAGATAGAGTTGAAAGAGTAATTAAACTCGCTAAAGATAATGATGTTGATGAAGAAGAATTTGATGAGTTCAACATTGAACTTTAAGAAACTAATGATTATTTGAATTTATGAAATCAATTATTTGATTCATGTCTTACAATTTTGAACATTTTATTTTTTTATTTTGTATGAAATGAGCGTCAAAACTAACAACGTGAAAAAATTGGGATTCACAAATGAGGAAATAAAGGATATATTAGAGGAGGCGGGTTATGAGGTTGATAAATTTTATTTAAGAAATTGTCAAAAATTTGCGGAGTTTTTAAATGAGTTTGATTATGATGGAAAAATGAATAAAGATGATGTTATAAATTTCTTATATCCCACTTCTAAAAAAGAAAAACCTAAAGAACCTGATGTTTTCCCTGAATATTATGAAGAACGGATTAAAGATGATGAATACAATGAAATTGAAAGACTGGAAAAAATAAGAGATGAAATAGATGAAAAATTAAGGAATTAAGAAAGTTGAAAAATATAATGAAAATGAAGTAGAGGGTTTAATGAATATCCCAGCTTCAGAATCAGAAGTTCAGAAATCTCATGAAGAAAGATATAAAATTATGTCTCAGAATCAACACAAAATTTATTAGATGGTGAAATAGATGAAACACTTTCAGAAGAAGGAACTAAATTTATTCGTAAACATAAGTTACAATTTATTGATAATGAAGAATACCCTTGTATATTACTTTCACCACCTTTAGATTCCGAAAAATTCAAAAAAGCTCTTAAAAACGTGACATATGCAACTAATACGATTAAGAAAGAAGATCATGATATTTACACAAATTATTATTTAAATAAATGCACAGGTGTTGATAAAGTTTTTGATTTATTAGATAAAATATCAAAAGAAACCATTGGAACCTATAAAATTTTGTGTGATTGCGGTTTCATTATTGAAGATACTAATAATGTTTCATATGAAAGAACAGCACCGAAGGAAGATGAAGTTGAAAGGTCTATACCATTCGTTATTAAGAACATAAAAGATATGAAAACTTATAAACATTATATTTATTCATTTATTTCAGAAAAAATGGAAGCAACCCATAAAACATCTTCTCATCATTTTATAGCTATTCATACATTTCTTTTCAAAGTTGTGAAATTAAATAAGACAGGAATTAGATTTAATGTATCAGGGTACGCATTCTTAAGTAAATTAAAATGTATTCGTCACGTCGCAGATGATAAAAATTTATGTGTTCTTAATTCATTTTATGGACTTTAATAAATAAACTTTATTTTTATTTATTTATTTAATTTTTTTTCTTACATAAATGAACAAAAACGGAACAGCTAAAATGAATGATAATCAAATTAGAGCAGAAGGTAGAAGGTTATTTAAACGCTTCTATAACATTCCTGATGGTGTTAATCCTAAAACTCGTAGAAGCTATTTAAATGAAGCAATAGATGCATATGACGGGTTTGACATTTCATCAGAAAGTGAGAGATTAGCGAGAATGTTAAATGTTAATATTGATTTCTATTATTGTGATCCTCAACCAGAAGACGTGGACATAAATAAGGTAGACTTTCCATTAGTGGATTCAATAATGATAGATCCAGAATTTGAAACAGTAAATATTTTATTAACACAGAGTTCATGTGGAAAACTTCACGCTGACAGAATAACAGACGTAGAAGCACTCACCGGCTATAAAGTTTGTCCATATTGTAAAGAAGAAGTTTATTCTATCCGTGATGATCCAGAAAGGAAAAACCAAAGAAGATTTTTAAAGCATTGTGAGAAATGTAAAGAAAATAATGGGAGATTAATTCAAGACGTTCAATTGCAAAAGACACAGCAACCATATGCACCACATATTACGAAACAAAAGATATATCAGTGGTTATTAGCTCATAATTTGCAGGAATATTATCAACCGACAAGATATTATATTACTTTTGACTTTGAAACATTAGAGACTAAAGAAGAATTACAACTTTCTGAGTGTGCAACTTTGAATGCTTACTTAAAACCATTCATGGTATCATCAACAGTTAAATTAAATGATAAAACATATACGAAGAATTTTTGCTTAACTTCGAGTGATTCTTTTATTTCTGATTGGATTGAGTTTTTATTTTCAACCTGTTCATTAGTTGCTAAATCAAATATTGAACAATATGAAGAATTATTGAAGCCGCAAACGGCGGGGACTTTGTCCCATACATTAAATGAAAAACAGAAGGAAGCATTTAAAGAACTTCTAGATGAGGAATTCAATAAAGTGAATATCATAGGTTTTAATTCGGGAAAGTTTGATTTAAATTTAATTCTTCGTGATTTAAACACTGCAAAATGGAAAATAAAATCAATGCTGGGTTCATCTTCACAATTTAAGCAAATCATTGTAAAGAAAACAAACGTTCCATATGAATTAAGATTTATTGACATCAGAAATTATATAGCGGGTGGGACATTAGACCAATTCACTCAAGATTTCGGAAACAATAAATCACGTGTTAAATCCTTTTTCCCTTATCAATTCATCACATGGGAGAATTACGAAGAAGAATTATATAAAGTGGAACCATTCACGAAAGATTCATTTTATTCAGCATTAACTCAAGAAACTATATCAGATAGTGATTATCAAATATATCTCAATGATGCTAAAAATTTTAAGAATAGATTAGAATATTTTATTCATTATTGCAATAAAGATGTTGAAATTATGATTGACCCAATCGATAAAATTATTGAAGAAACATTTGTTTATAAAATTGATATGCTTCATAATCTTTCTTTATCATCGAATGCTTCAATGATTCGTTACGCTTTAGCATATAAAGACTTTAATCCTAATGAAAAATATCCTGAGGAAGAGATAGAATCAAGTTTTGAATTAACGAAAAAGTATTGGAAATATAAAATTGAATCATATAAGAAACAAGATGAAAAAGCAGAAAGGGATACTAAAAATAATGTTTCAATGGATGATTTTCAATACTATCACGATTTAATCCTTTCATCTAAATGCAAAATGTGTGGTAAAGCGTTTACATATGCAAATAAACCAACATTAGATAGAATCGATAATGAAAAACCACATACCAAAGAAAATTGTCAGTTAATGTGTTGTTATTGCAATGTCATAAAATCAAATAAAGATGAAGATGTTCAACGTTTAAGAATCAATTTAAGAAATTATGCATTAAAATATAATTTACCAATGACTTTAGATTCAGTTGAAGCTTATCACATTCTCCGTAATGGAATTACTGGTGGTCTATCAAATGTTCAACATCGTGTTAATCTTAAAGGAATCACGCACATTAATAAACTTTCATATAGTCCAGAAACTAAAACTGTATCAAATGAGGACACCACCAACATCATGACTCATTTCGTTGGTGTTGATTTTAATTCATTATATCCTTCATCATTTTCATCTAATCCTCATGATTTCATTCAATATACTGACCATAAAATGTATATGCCGGGAAGATTGAATAGTGTTATCATTTGTGATACAGCAACAAAGAAAGCAAAAGCACTGGGAATAATTAAGAAGAAAAATACTTTATTCGTGACTGAAGTAAAGAGTCACATTGATGAAAAATACATTAATGATTACATAAACTTTTTACCGATAATAAGAAACTTAGATATTATCACAGATGAAAAAACAATTGGCAGTTTTATGTATAATTACATGAAATCAAACAATCTACCAGTTGACCAGA